TATATAGATCAGTGCCACACACTAGATTTTGGGTGTATTTTGGTCTGTTAGAAGAAAGTGACTCCCAAAATTTTAAAGAAAGAAAAACATATATGTACAAAAATAAGGGTTGATATGATGAAGGGATGGAATATGACTGTAAAGATGGAAATTATAAAAAATTTTATAAAAGGAATTGATAAGTTGTTTGAAAAAAGAAAGAAGAGGATTTAAAAAAAGAAAAAAAAAAAGGGAGAGGATGTGATCAGGCAGGGGAATAGAAAACACCATATACTAGAGATTTAGGGTTTATTTTAATCTGTTAGAAGAAACTATCTCAAAATTTTAAAGAGAGAACAACTTATATATATAAGCCAAAAATACGGGTAACTACTATGAAGGGATAGAATATGACTCTAAAAATGAAAAATAAAAATGTTTTTTTAAAAAAAGGGATTGATAAAATGTTCGTTGAAAAAGGGAAAAAGAAAAATTCAAAAAAAAAAAAAAGAAAAAAAGACAGTTAAAAAAATATTAACTTTGAAAGACTAAAGAATCATGGTAAAAAAGCCATGAATTCTATGTGCAGTATTCCCCTAGCACTGGAGTTCTGCCGTTCTCATTGATCGGTAAACTTGGTCTTGGTTGTCTGTTCTCGCTGATCTTCTGGGGAGGGGCCTGTTGCCGTGGTTTCCAAATGTCTCTGCTGGAGGCGGAATTGCCCCGCCCTTGCCCCCTCCCGGCTAAGTAATCTGCTCGGGTTTGCTCTCCGGGGCTTTTGTTCCCTGCGAGCTTTCCGTACAGCTTTGGAGGCGGAGAGTGAAAATGGCGGCCTCCCAATTTCCGCCCCGGAGGAGCTGAGAACTCGGGGCCCCACTCCTCAGTGAGCCCCCAGAGAAAAGCCGTCAGTCACTCCCGTCTCCCCGCTCTCCGGCCGCACTCCGTGCTCACCCGGCCTGTGACTGCGCGTTTCTATCTCTGGCACCCGACCCCGTGTGGAGTCTCCAAACCCAGCAGATCCCTGCGGTGCACTCCTGTGCGGCTCCTCCCGGGGGAGGAAGGTGAGTCTCCCCGGATCTGCCGCTTGTTGGGTCCCTGCTGGAGGAGCAGGGGCCCGACTGTGCCGCGGATCACGGTTCATGGCCACCCCGAGCTGAGAGCCCGCGCCTGGGCTCCGCCTCTGCAGCCGGCTTCCCTGCTCCGTTACCTGGGAGCTCTGCCACACTCAGGCACCCCTGGTCTTTCTGTGACCCCGAGGGTCCTGAGACCACACTGTCCCGGAGGGTTCCAGCCCCCGCTTAGCCACCAGAGTGACGTCCCTCGGCGGAGCAGACTTGTAAAAGTTCCGATTTTGTGCTCCGCGGCTCTATCACTTGCCAGAAGTGGCCGACGGACGCCCCTCCCCCGCCGTCTATCCTCCCGAATATCGCCTCGGATTCACTTCTCCGCACGTCCTACCTTCCAGAAAGTGGTCTCTTTTCTGATGAGAGAGTTGTTGCTCTTCTTTTCTTCGATCTCCTGTTGGGTTCGTAGGTGTTCAGAATGGTTTGATCCCTATCCAGCTGAATTCCTGAGAGGAGACGAAATCCAGGTCTCCTACTCCTCCGCCATCTTGCTCTGCCCCCCTCCCTTCCTCTCATTTTTTAAAAGGTCAGCTACAGGGGCGCCTGGCTGGCTCAGTTAGTAGAGCATGTGACTCTTGATCTCAGGGTTGTGAGTTCAAGCCCCGTGTCAAGTGTAGAGATTACTTAAAATATTTAAAAAAAAAATTAAAATGAAAGGTTAGGTACAGGTTATTTTATTGATTTTTCAGATTATTTCTATCAACAGGGTGTCTGGGTGGCTCAGTCGGTTAAGTGTCTGACTCTTGATCTCAGCTCAGGTCTTGATTTCAGGGTTGTGAGTTCAAGCCCTGCATTGGGCTCCATGCTGTAAAGCAAAGAAATACACTGAAATCGATAGCTTTTGTTTATAAAAATGACATCCAATTCGGGGCGCCTGGGTGGCTCAGTTGGTTGGGCGACTGCCTTCGGCTCAGGTCATGATCCTGGAGTCCCGGGATCGAGTCCCGCATCAGGCTCCCTGCTCGGCGGGGAGTCTGCTTCTCCCTCTGACCCTCCTCCCTCTCATGCTGTCTCTCATTCTCTCTCAAATAAATAAATAAAATCTTTAAAAAAAAAAAATGACATCCAATTGAAAGATAACAAAGAGAGCACCTCATTCCCCAAAACAAATAATGAACAAGTGCTTAGCCATAACCTCAACAAGAGGTGAGGCCTCTAAGTTGTTGCAGAATTCTTCTGAAAGAAAAGATCACTTGAACAAGTGAAAATTCATACATGTTCTTAAGAAAAATCAGTGTCATAGAGATGTCACTTTTTTGTTTGATTTTTTAGGGGGTGGTGGTGGAGAGGGGCAGAGGGAGAATCGTAAGCAGACTCCAAACACAGCACAGAGCCCAACGTGGGGCTTGATCTCATAACACTGAGATCATGACCTGAGCCTAAATCAAGAGTCAGACGCTTAACCAACTGAGCTCCCCAGGCACCCCAAGATGTCACTGTTTTTTAATTTAGATATTTAATGAGATCACGATACATCTGATTTTTTTCTTAGAGTTGCAGGAGTTGATTACAAAGTTCAAATTGATGCAAGAATAGCCACCAAAACAGAAGAGAGGATATTAAAATATAAAGGCTTTAAAATTTAAATATTATGGTGCTGATGAAGAAAATATAAATTATATAAATTGCTTTGTAATCCAGAAATGGGGGAAATCTTTCCTATGACTCAAAATCTATCATTACTAAGGAAAAAATGGATGAACATAACCCCACCAAAAAAATTTAGGCATTGATAAAAAGAGAAGTTAAAAACCCGTATATATAACAGATGGGGGGAAATATTGGCAATAATATCACAAAAGAGTTCCTAAAATGGAAACGGGAATTACCAACATCTGAAATGGACTGATCATATAAACAAACAAAAAATGAAAAGACAGTTCAGAGAGAAACTACAGTGACACTTAAAAATGAAGCAAATGGACCCCAACAAACCCCACCCCACCCCTAATAGGAGAATGCAGGCCACAGTTCTGATGAGGTGCCCCTGCTTGCCCACCAGACAGGCAGAGATTCCACGCTCTGGCCCCACTGTATTCTTGTGAGGCCACGGGGAAGCAGCCCGCTCTCGCACATGGTGGCTGGAATACAAATGGAGGAGCTGTTATGGAGGTGGTGGGGAGGAGAGGAACTTGGCAATATCCAGCAATTTCACATTTGCACTTATCTTTTGACCCAGCCACCCCATTTTGAGGTAGTCTACCCCCAAGGTGATACTGGCCAAAGTATAATATATATACAAGGTTATTTCCTGCAGCATTTGCTGTACTAGCAAAAGGCTCCCACAACCCAAAAGCCACTCAATGGTAGACTTGCTCAAATAAATTTTGATACATCCACAAAGTAGAGTGTGATGCAGCAGGAAAAGATGGAGGAGTAATATTCTGTGTATTACTATGGCACTATCTCTGGAATATATTAGGAAAAAGCAAAGTACAAAACTACCCATTATGTATTTGCTAGTTTTTATCTGGGGGTAGTGGAAGATGAACGTGTGTGTGTGTGTGTGTGTATGGTTGTGCTTCTATTTATTCTCAAAAATAAATAATGGAAGAAAAAAACCAAAATCAAAAAAAGGTTTTAAATTATTTTAAAAATTAAGATAAAAGGGAAAAAACAAATCCCTCAAAACTGAAAACAAATGGAGATAAGAAACCTTACTCTGGGGCGCCTGGGTGGCTCAGATGGTTGGGCGTCTGCCTTCGGCTCAGGTCATGATCTCAGGGTCCTGGGATCGAGTCCCGCATCGGGTTCCCTGCTCAGTGCAGAGTCCGCTTCTTCCTCTCCCTCTGCCACTCCCTCTGCTTGTGCTCTTCTATCTCTCTGTCAAATAAATAAATAAAATCTTAAAAAAAAAAAAAAAAGAAAAAAGAAACCTTACTCTGATAAGTAAATGACCACACCACACAGGGAAAAATCGAAGGGCAGTATGTTGAATGAATCTCCCTCGTGGGCTATAGTTTGAGATTAAAAAGAACAAGAACTCTTACACTTCATACCATACTTCTGGTAGTGGTAGAACTGGCAGTTATTTTGCCTATTTATTACAGGCACATTACAGGATAAAGCAAGTGAGTAATTACGCTAAAGCCATTAAGAACCAAGATTTTCAGAAGCGTTAAGAAAAAAAGACATGAAGTCTAAAGGGAAAGAAATGCAATGAATTGGAAATATCAGTATGAACTTGTGAATTTTTTCTTGAAAAAAAAATTTTCTGTCCCTGTAAAAGAACAATGAGTAGTCCAATCCCCCAGATTATGGTTTCTAAGTGCCATTTCCAACTAAAAGAAAACCGCTCCCTGCAGAAGATGGAGGAGTCCCGATCCGGTGGCCCTGGTTTCTCCTCCGGCTCCTGAACCCACAGACTGACCCTGCCAATTCAGAGGTGGGACAGTGGGACATAAGGGCCTCGTGATGTGTTACAAGGGGAAGCATATGGCTCCAGCTACAAAGTATGCTTGCCTCCAGATCCAACTACCCGTGTGCGGGAAATCTGAGGGACAGAGGAGCAAGTTCTCAGGCAAAGCTAGAATTAAGACCTTGTATTAGGATGAATCATCCAATTCCTACAACAAATCAATGACAAGGTAAAAGAAAAGAGAGGAGGGAATAAACATGTTAAAACATAACGTCCTCCTCAGAGGTGAATACTGAATGGTTTCACAGGTAAAATGACACGATGTCTGACATTTTCTTTATATTCTAGGGAAAAGAAAAAAAAAGGTAGACTAGATGAAACAAGATTGGCAAAATTACTTTATAACTATTGACATTGGAGGACAGGCACCAAGGAGCTCATCATATTGTTCTGTAGCAGTGTTTGGTTTGGGATGAAAATTTTCGGGAAGACAATGAATGCCCATGGCCAGGTCATGACACCATGTTGTTTGTCTGCAGGTGCCCATTTTCATCCCCATCCTGGTGACCCTCATATCCGTGTTTCTGGTTGTGGCCCCAATCATCAGCGAACCTGCAATGGAGTATCTCTACTGTGTATTATTTATACTGAGTGGCCTTATATTTTACTTCCTTTTTGTCCACTATAAGTTTGGATGGGCTCAGAAAATCACAAGTAAGTACCAACAGAGGGACTGTTCTCTTAGCGAAGCACAGACAGGCAACCGCATTCCACAACCTCACCTGTCCTTCCCTATCGCAGGAGCTCATGCAGCTAGCAAATCTCACCTTTTCCTCCGTGGGGCACCTCTGGGGTCCACCTGGGGCCTCTGCCTTTGTTCCCGTCAATTACTGTAAACAAGTAGGAAGGGAAATCACCATGTTTTTTTTTTCATTGTAAGATACACATAACATGAACTTGACCATCCTAATGATTTTTTTAAAAAATTTTTATTTATTTGACAGAGACACAGCGAGAGAGGGAACACAAGCAGGGGGAGTGGAAGAGGGAGAAGCAGGCTTCCCGTTGAGCAGGGAGCCTGATGTGGGGCTCGATCCCAGGACCCTGAGATCATGACCTGAGCCGAAGGCAGACGCTTAATGACTGAGCCACCCAGGCGCCCCATCCTAATGATTTTTAAGTGTGTGGTTCAGGACCGATAAGCATATTCACATGGTTTTGCATCCAACCTTCAGAGCACCACCTTCTCTTGCCTGATACACAGACATCCTGAGAGGCCCAACAGCATCCCAGAGATACCCAAGCAGTGTTGGGACGAGAGCCCGAGCCTTCCCATGCCGAAGCCCTAGCTCTTGCTCACCATTCAGCAATCCTGGCTACTCATCTACTGTAGGCCAATTGTGGGTTAGAAGTTCAGCTATATTAGCCACTTTCAATCAGGGGCACTCGCTACAGCGCACAGACATTCACAGTGCCGTGCCCCACGCCGTAGATTCAACTGCAGGGAAGCGCCAGCACCCCGTGGCCATCGGGGGCCAAGGCCATCAGTGATCCACTACCTGAAGACCTGTTTCTTGGTCTCCGTCTCCCCGTACTGTTTCTACAAGGCAGGAATTGGGCTGCACAGTCTCACTGCGGATCTATACAACAGCCGCCTAATGTTGATGGAGTAAATGTGATTCAACATCTGCCCCTTCTTCAGCTTGTCTGAACAGAGAGCAGGGAAAGCACAACCATCCCCTCAGCACTCCTCTGGGGTTTCTACTTATATATATATATATATATTTATATATATATATATATATATATGCAACTCCGGGAGACACACAGGGTACAAAAGAGCAAAACCCAACTGGAAGGCAGTGAGGTTGACCCTGAGACTTGGTTTAGACTGAGCCAGCGGGGACTGGGAATGCCCTTCTCCAGCTTGGGCTGTTCAGATCCTGGCGTGGCCTGCATTCCTCACCGGTGAAACCCAACAGCGGTGTTAGAATAAGCAAGAGAAAATCTGTTTCATGTTGATTAGCGAAGTGAAACCACACCTGAAATAGGGCTTTATTATTTCCACCAGGGACTTCTTACTTTCCTGAAAGAGCTCTCCCCACCGCCCAACCTCTTTATACTCTGATCGAAGGCCTAGGCTGAGAGAGGGTTGCAGGCACACTACTGTAGGTAGGAAAGTACATTTGGTGCTGGGAGAACAGCCATTTTCCCCTGCCTCTGACCATGAGCTTAGATCTGATCATACCGACAATCTAGCCAGGATGACTTACCACCACAGGGTTACAAAGTAGGTCTTAATTCTCAGCTTTAGAAAACTTAGCCAAGCTGCTCCCTACAAGAACTGGTTGGAAGCTGGAATTAAGGAGGTGAAAAGAACAATCTAGCTTTTAAGCAAGATGCAGGCTCAGTGCTTTCCAACTACTCAACTCTCAGTCAGTGGTGGTTACGTAAGGACATGAGTTGTGCCGATCTTCCCCAGAGTAAAACAGTGAGCAGGCTCCTAATGCTTTCCTGGGGAATAACTTCCCTCCAGAGAGCCACCATGGCTCCCAGCATGGCTCTACCTTCAGCCCATGTCCCCTGAGCCCGGCCCCAACAGAGGACACGGCCCCCCAGGGTGGGAAGTGAGGTGAAGCCAGCTTTTAATTATAGCTCCCTAACTGCACTTCTGCTCGGCTTTTACTGCAGAGCCCATCACCATGTACCTCCAGATGCTGATGGAAGTTGTGCCGCCAGAGGAGGCTCCAGAGTAACGGGCCCGGCCTCCGGGAGCCTCATCCAAGCCGTGCTGAATTTATTTTTGTAAGCGATATTTGTGGTTATTTCCTCCTTATGTTTTTCCTTAAGAAAAAAATGTATTCGGATGTTCATAATATTGTTATTTGTAGACATCCTCATTTCTCTGGGTGGGGGTTCTAGAGAGAAGGACAGATGTTTACTAAAGTTAGCAGGCGGAGATGTGGCGGCCAGGCCCAGCAGACGACCACCCACGCTGGGACTCCTTACCAGGGACAGGCACGTCACACCTACCTAAATAAAGGGTATTCCTTAAACTCAGTGATCAATAGGGCATATATATATATATAATATATATAAAATATATATATATTTTATATAAAACAGGTAAAACTTTTGCTTCAGTTGAAATAGATTTTTAGCAGACTAAAGTGTAAATGTTTTACTATCTGCCCCCTGCCCGAAGTACTGAACCCCTGTATTTTACCCGGGATGTACCAGGCGGGTCTACCCCAGGCTGATTTTCAAGGCACCCACTGCAAAGCGGACCATCCAGAACCATCCACAGCCTGGTGCCCACGACAGGAACCACAATCGGGGGTCGGCCCCCCCGCACCCCACCCCAACCTTCACTGGCACTCAGGTCAAACTAGAAAGGGCGGTAGTGAATATAATTCTGTTTTGCATTTGGCACTCAGGGAAAATATGGTTGAAAAAAAAGTGAACTGTCATTTCTGTGAAAACACAAATTTTATTGATATACTACAAAAGACCTTCACACCACGACTGACTCTGTGAGCAGTTCTAGAAGCATAGAGACAAAAGTACTTTTACTTTGCATTTCAGAAATTTTCCCCAAACATGAAATCAATACGTATTAAAAGAAAATTTACATTTCACAAGTCACTGTCTCTGTCCTACAAAATGTTATTCAGAACTTCAATAGGTAAATTTAAATGTCTGGAACAAAGAAATCCAGATTTAAACATCTGGCCCAGCCCCCCACGATTCCCCTCAGGCTATTTGTGAACAACACTAGAGAAGCTGAACACCCCCCAGCCCCGATTTAGGCAGCTCTATCACTTGCTCTTATTGTTGCTATGTTTTTACAAAAGAGAGTGACTATAAGCAGGTGGCCAGCAGTCACAGGGCAAGCCAGCGCCACTCAGGAGGCCTGGCCACCCATCCAGAGGCCTCCCCCGGTGGGAGCGCAGAAGCTCTACCTACAGGCACCTGCTGAGGCCATTACAAGAGCTCCGCAGAGTCAAGCCTCCCTCCGCCAGCAAAGACCCCAGGACTTCTGACCTCCTGAAGAGCCTGCCCGATTTAGCCCAAGAAAAGGACAATCACTCCAGTACTTCATGGGCCGATCTGACACCCGCCAAGCAGCCCACGGGAGTCCCGGCGGCAACCAGCCGGCTGCCCACCCGTCCTCCCGCCGGCGGCCCGGGGCTGGCCTCCCTCACGGCGCCCCCGCCCGGCAGGCATCCCGGGGTGGCCCCTGAGCAGGGCGAGGCCACGCAGTGAGCAGGAGGTCTTATTTTACAGATGAGGAAACTGAGAGTCAGAGTGTGATCCCAACCTGCTCACAGGACAGCCTGGTGACAGTTTGTTCAAGCGGTGGCTTACCTACCGGGACCTCTGTGCTTTCTGACATGTGACAATAAAGGTCGTGGGGGCAGTCACGATGGTCACGCTCGGGCACCCTTCTTTCCGGCCTCTAGGCAAGGCTGCTGCCTCCTACTGAACACAGACACAGGGCTGACATTTCGCTCCGCTCTGCAGCTCTTCTGGCTACCACGGCAGGTCCGGCTCGGGGCGCTCCCGCAGTCAGGGGCCCACGCCCGGACGGCGTCCTGGGTGCTGCGAGGGCTCCCCACACCCAGCTGTTCTGAGGGTCGCCTCCAGGCGCCCCCCACGTCCTCTTCTGTTTCCACCGAGGAGAAATCTTTGTCCCGAGTGCCCAGGACGGTGCAGGGCCAGGCGGGGCTTCAGAAGCAGCAGCTCTACATCCAGAAGCCATGGGTCTGGCTGTTGACGGCCGAGGTGACCCCGCTCGATCTGCGGGTTGCCCCCAGTCTCCCCAGAATACTGCAAGTACAGGTCCACAGGTCGTTCTGTTGAATCCCAACAAGCTCGGGGTAGAAAGCACGAAGTCGTAACCCAGAAACCTCAATTTATATGCACAACACCAGGGTTTTGGCAAGGTACCAGCCAGGTCTCCGGGAAAAAGTGAACAGACTAGAGTCTCCGGAAAGGACAATTCATCCCCCAAATGGCACACTGTGCTCCCCGCCCCTCAGGGTGAGTGTGTGGGGACAGGCTACGTGCGAGAGGCGGTGCAGGTGGACTCTGGGCCCGGGTCAGACCAGAGCCCACACCCCAGAGTCCCCGCACCCCGTCTCTCACCAGTACCAATCCCAGTGCCCCAGGATGACGTCTGGTCAGAATTTATCCTTAAGTCAAAGACAGGTCTGGCCGTGACTGCTTGTTTCCTGAGCTCCCAGCCACACGACGTGTCCATCTGTCCGTGTGCAGTTTGGGCCACCCTTCCGGATCGGACTTGTGCTCATTCACTCTCACTTCCGTCATCCTCCGATGTCCGGTCACTGTCCTCAGCCCCCTCTGCCACTTTGCACGGCAGGTTTTTAGAATTCACAACTACAAGAGTTCGGTATTATTGAAAAATCTCTTAACTACAGACTCATTAGCACATCTCCCCCACCCCCGAACCCTGCCATTATTTTGGCCAATGCAGGAAAAGTCCCTTAGGCTCTAGAGCTCTATTTTGTGACTTATGTTATATTTTCATTATTTTAGGCAAGAAATGAGCAGGTAAAATGTGCCTGCTTAGAAATTAATTATCCTCCCAGGAAGAAAATCTGTAGAAGTGTTGTAAGAAGGTATGCTTATAATTAAGAGTTGATACCTCCTCAAACCAGAACATTTAGCACCAAGATCGGCCACAAGGAGAAAACCAATTCCCAAGGGCGTCACGGTAACAACCCATTTCCCCAAGGGCCGCAGTCCTCAAACCATGGCACTCAGCACCTGCGACTCCCCAGGAAGTGGGCACACCCCATCTTACCCTGGGGGAACTGGCTGTCCTCTTCACATTCTTCCCAGTGATCGAAATCAAAAGCCACATTAGGATTCTGTTCAAGAGAAGAGGTGACATTAAATGACAGAGTAAGTCACGCTTGGGGCATTGAGACCAGCCCCCCGGTTCATCTCCACTCACCCTCTGTTTGAGTAAGCTGCACCAAGATCCCCTGGTCTCTTTGGCAAGAGTGATCACAGGCTCCCCGTTTGTGATCGCGCACTTGCAGGCGTCCTTTACTATGCTGGCCCGCAGCTCCATGTCAGCCAAGTAAAACTTCTCTCCCGCCCAGCCACTAGGTGTATAGAGAGAAAGGCCAGTCTTTTAACATGGTAGAAGTGATTTCAATTGTAGGTCTACAAGACATACACGAACCTACCTGAAAACGACTCTATCTTGGAAATATTTACATTTGTAATCTTTTACGTTCCTTATTCTTATCTTCAGTATGACCACATCATCTTTTTGGAACCATTTTATCTGTGGGTGGAAGCTAGGAGAGAAGACGATGGCTTACGCGGGCACACAATTCATTCACTGGGGGGTCGGGGGAAGGGGAGGGAAGCCGACCCCGGTCATGGGGGGACGTACGTTTTCAGAGGCTCTGTGGTTCTGTGAAGGGGAGAATCACTTGTGTTTTCAGGTGAAGTTTCTGGGCAGAAAGTCAAATGTTCCAGTAAGTTATTTATACGTAACTGTATACTCCACGTACCTATCAGTACTTTCTCACACTTCATGCAACTTTTAGTCGAGGAACTATTGACAAAGAGTATCAATTTCCGAGTATCCACTCGCAAAGAATAATTAGAAGAAATTAAAATGCACCATTTAGTAGAATTAATAAAAACGGGCTCTGACAAATACTATAATTAAACCATCAGGTAAGTCAAATCACTCTGAAAGGGAGCGGCGTTACCACCGGCGGCCATCTTAACCTGCGAGGCCGAGAGATGCCCACCAGAGGAGAAGGCATCTGGTCGCAGATCTATGTGAGGGACCAGTGCTGAGCATGACACTTCCTAAAACAACACCATTTGAACTTCTTGGTCTAAAGCCCCCGAATCTTCCATCTGAAGACTGAGCAAGAATGTTCACAGCAGCTTTAACCATCGTCAAAAACTGAAAACAGCCTCAGTGTCTATCAAGAGGTGAACGGATAAATAACTCGGGGTGTGTTTGGATCACAGAACAGCACTCAGGGGTAAGAAGGTGCCACCACTCCTTGTAATCGCCTAGATTAATCTCAGACAGAACGCTGGGTGGGAGAGGCCCCAAGAGCGCACACCCTGTGCTTCTAATTCAGTGGAACTGATGGCAATGGACGTCAGGACGGTGGTTCCTGGGAAGGGTTTCAGGCGGGGAAGATGTGGTAGGGAGATTCCTGGGGCTCTAGAAATGTTCAAGCCGCCTCATCTGGGTGTGGTCCGTGGACACAGACACACATGTAAGTAATTCTGATGAGCTGTGTGGTACTTCCCTGGATGAACATTATACCTCAACTAACAAAAAGGCAAAAGTTATTAAAAAAACATTGGAAGCTGAATTAAAAACAAAGTTAGATAATACCAGTTTATGTCACCTTCTATAGAATTCATCTAAAAGTGGAAAGCCTCAACATTGGAAAACTTCTAAGCTTTCATGATTTTAAGTGAGCCATGTTTTTTTTTTTAAGATTTTTTTTTTAATTCATTTGAGAGAGAGGGAGAGTGAGCACGAGAAGGGGTGAGGGGCAGAGGCAGAGGGAGAAGCAGACTCCCTGCTCAGCAGGGAGCCCAATGCGGGGCTCGATCCTAGGACCCTGGGATCATGAGCTGAGCCAAAGGCAGACGCTTAGCCGACTGAGCCCCCCAGGCACCCCTAAGTGAGCCATGTATTAAATCACCAACCATGCTTTTGGTTTTCCGGCTTTGCCCCGGAGTCGGCACCTCTTTCCGAGCCTCTGTCCTCCTGCTGTGGGCTCTGCGGACGAGCAGCATCTTCTGCTGGAGAAGGCGCCCTGGACGGAGGAGGTGAAGGTTAACTCGGAGTCGAAGAGACAGCAAGCTCTGGCCCTCTACGGGGCCCTCCCAGCAAGAGGAGGAAGGCAGGCAGCCACGGACGGCCTTGACGGACTGTCAGACCTGCCCCGGGGTCAGGACTCACGCCCCGGGGGGCGGGGCAGGGCCAGCAGCTCTGCTCACTGCTGCGCCCCTTGTGGCGAGCCCAGAGCAGATCATCAATCCGTACTGGCCGATAAGTGCGTTACCTCATTTACCAGAAAAGTTCTCTTTCAAATCATTTAACTTTGAGAATTACCAGCCCTGCTACCCACTTCAAAATGGATAAAAGAGGAGGAAGTAAAAGCATCTCTGCACCCCTGCCCTAGTCCCTCAGCTCCTCCTCCCCGAGATACCCCCTTAACCAGTGTGGGGCTACTTCTAGAAACGCGCTTTGCATAAACAAGCATATAATGCCATCTGTATCTGAAACACACATACACACCATTTACACACCTGAGAACGGACTCCATTCACTTTTCTGCCCCTTCAATTATACTTAATAACTAGAGATAGATTACTCCATATCAGTACACAGAGGGCTGCCTCATTCTTTAAAAATTAAAAAAAAAAATTTTTTTTTTTGAACAGATAACCACTTTCATGTGGTTCAATGTTTTGAGATAAATGAGAAGGTCTTACACAGCAAAAAATCTCCCTCACGTCTCTGTTTCCCAGCCAACCCACTGCCTTGGTCATGGGCGACAACGTAATTCATTTTTGTGCATCCTTTCAGAGATAACTCAGCCCTAAAGGAGCAAGCCCATGCAAACACATGCACGCACGCCTGCGTGCACACACACACACATCTATGGCGTGGGGGGTGTGCATGTGTGTCTCCAAGGGGACTTCTGGCCGACACACATGAAGCCTGTGAGTGGCACCCCACACACCCCACAAATGGTGGAGGCAGCATCTTGTTTCCAACCACCCAGGCAGGGGCCCCTCCCCAGGCCCTGTTCTCCCCACAGTGCAGCGCCAGACCCTCCATCCCCGCTCTCTTCCACCACGGCTCCCTCTCCTTCACCAGACCCTCATCCACTGGGGTTCCATCCCTCCTCGTCACACACTTCCCGAACGGTGGCTCTCCTCCGCTCCCAGCAAACGGGTCTTCCCCAGCAGCTTTCCTGAGCTCCAGGCTGATGCTTTCCATAATCCTTCAATCTGACGTGTCCCAAACCAACTCGCCATCTCCTCCTCCCCAACCAGCACCGTGACACCGTCCACCATGCCAATACCCTCCCCGCCCAGGGCTCAGATTCTACAGTCACACCCCCGCTGTCTGCCGGTCACCAAGCTCTATGGCTTCCAGAGCTTTCATGTCCCCAGGACCCGTCCTCTTTCCCAGCCTGCTGTAAGAATGGCGCCCCTCTCCTCCTTCTGATCCAGATTACCGCCATGGCTTCCCCATCCAGCTCCTGAAATGGAGTCTCTGCTGGGCAGGCTCCGTCTGTAGCACCTTCCACGCGGCCCTCTGCACGCCCGCCCCGTGCGTATGCCCACAGGTGTGCCAGACTGCTGCACACGCGCAGGGCCGAGCGTGGAACAGAGCCGGGGCTCAGGTGCAGCTGCTGTGTTTCACAGAACTGGCCGCGCCTCGTGCTCATCGAATCGACTAAATTCTAAGGACAGCTTTGTTGTTGTTGTTGTTGTTTCAAATCTTACAAGCAAGCACAGGGCAATTTTTGTTTCCTTGGAAGTGTGTAAAACAGACGTGTCTCCTAATCCCACGGGCATTCAAATTCATTAAGATAAAAATTAACAACTTGAGGTTCAAGTATTTTAACCTTTGCCATGTTCTTTGAAACTGTGCTGCGTTCATCGGTTACCAGGGGCCCCAGGCCGACCCCGTGGCCGGCTCGCCGAGCTCACCCGTCGGGCCTCCCGGCGGCGTGTGGCAGGCTCACGGCTCCCTGCTCCGGGACACGCCTCACCCGCCCTCTGGGAGTCTGCCCTCCCTGGCCGCCTCGGACGCTGCCGCTCCTTCTCAGGCTCCCCTCAGCCGCCCACCTCCCAACACTGGGCCCCCCTCGGACTTCGACAGGCACTCCTTCGGGCTCTTACCCAGGTCCCGGCTGCCAGGACCCAGGACCTGCCCGCGAGCCTCCAAGAGACCCCACCCCCCAGAACTGCATTCGGAAGCAGGCTACTTCTGGCCACCTCCACAAAGCCGCACCAGCCAAGCCACCGGCACCCTGTCCCGAGCTCTTGGCGCAGCCTTTGTCCCCCACCCCAGCCTCTTCTCAACACAGTAGCCAAGGATCTTCTGACTAAACCATCCCTCTGCGCAACACCTTCTCATGGCTCCCCTCCTCAGGGCGCGAGCCCGACCAAGGCTTGCAAATGCTCCCGGGGTCCGACAAGATCCCACCCGGGGTGGCTCCGACGCGCGCACCTACGGGTCTCCCCGCGTTTCTGCTCTAGTCACGGCACCTTCCTCCCCGTCCCCGAAATCAAGGGGTAACTGAGCCGGCTCTGTGACTGCCTCGTGGGGGATGCCAGGTACTTTCCCAGGGACTTCCACTGTCTCTCACGTTCGGCTTGTGGAAGTGCCAGCTGGGCCCATCTGGAACACTGCTGGGCACCAGCTCTAGGGGGGACTCCGCAATTCCGTCCATGCACCAAACACATGTAGGAGAACGTCGACTGCACCACCACCCGAAAGGGCCCAGGGCAGGGAAATGTCTTCCCTCAGCAGCAGAATGGGTAAATGGTACGTTTATGGTACATTCACACGATGGAGTCGTATGCAGCGGTAAGGACTTATGATCTGCAGCCACACACACACCACGGATGAATCTCACAAACTGTGCCGAACTCAGGGAGCCAGAGAGGAGAGCCACACTGCTTGATTCCCGTCAGACACGGTACAACCCAGGGAGAGCAATCTGTGCTCTCCAATCGGGACAGCAGTTGCCCTCGGGGAGGGAGCAGCAGGAGATGGGGCTGATCGTGCCCACCTTCTGATCCGGGGTTGGTTTCTGTGCTCAGAAAATCCACCGGCCTGTACTTACAGCGTGTAGACTTTTCTGTCTGTCGATCAACAGCTAACAAAAACTTACTGTGTGAGAGATACAGGTCAAACAATACACTTGGGATTGGTTGGATACTATTCCACCAAAAACAAAACTGTACATTGGGGTATGGATAAAATCAGATTCCCCAAATCTGAGAAATCATCGAAGCTGAGTGACGGAAACATGGAGACTCAGTAACCTATTCAACCTCCAAACAAAAAAAAAGTCTCTAAGCTCCTGAGTTCTATTCCTACAAAACCGCACTTCCAAATGGGAGACAAAACCCCACTTACAGGGCCTGGCTCAGGCTTTCTTCATCAGGTGGCATTTTAGCTCTTTCGTGTAACGTCTTCAGCTGTTCTATATGCTCCGAGTTGTCAATGCCCATTCCCATCGACAAAATTTCAGTACGAACATTATAGTCAATAACAGAGGTCTTCAAATTTGAAAGTTTTGTAATGTGCACCTTGAATAAAAAAAAAAGTCTATTTGCAGGAATCAGGCTTTGAACTTTCAAATCAATAGAAAACGCTCACGTGACCTTGCGATCTCACTGTCACGCTGGGCGCTCGTGGGCCTCCCTGAGTGGCTTCCAGCTGATTTTGTAACTGAGGTGACACGTGAGATTCTTCCAGAGCCCACTCCCACACTACAGAAGTACGATGAGGGCTGGGGTTGGGGGCTCCCTGTAATGCTGGGACCACACACAAAATTCTTAGATCTTTCTAACTTTTTATCTCTCTTAACAAGGAGGACCCTAAGGCTCAGAGACGTCGGTGCCCAGAAAGGGCCTACACCATGGCCCTAAATCCTGTGCTCTGGGCAGTTTCCTCCACTGGTTTTCTTCTGCAACCAAAATATTCTCATCCATCTTAATTTACACAAAATATGAGGTTTTGCAACACTGAGATTCCTGTCGATGGGAGGTGCAGACCCAGGACTGGGCATCCCCTTCATGGCAGCAGGGTGGGGAGCCAGGCCAGGACCAGCTGGAGCACCTTCCTAAGCGAACACCGGGAATGTGTTCCCATCTGGGAATGGCACAAGAGCCTTTCTCTACTCAAACTGGGGGCCGAGCGGTCTGGGAAGAGAAGGGAGTGTGTGGGGGTCTGTCTCCCCTCCACCGTGCCATGGACACCACTACACGAGCTGTGGGAGCAGAATGCCAGGTGGATTGTCTTTGCTTCTTCATTTCCTTAGCTATCGTCTTAAAAATCTCTTAATAAAGTTTCCATTTTTGGGGCATCTGAGTGGCTCAGTCAGTCAAGTGACTGCCTTCGGCTCAGGTCATGATCCCAGGGTCCTGGGATCGAGCCCCTCATCGGGCTCCCTGCTCTGCGGGGAGCCTGCTTCTCCCTCTCCCACTCCCCCTGCTTGTGTTCCCTCTCTCGCTGTGTCTCTCTCTGTCAAATAAATAAAATCTTTAAAAAAAAATTTACATTTTTTTCCTCCAGTAAAGAACCAGAATACTATTATATAAACCAAGACGCCAAATCTTCATTTGACCTGTATTGGTAATCTTTACCTTCTCTACTAAAAATCATTGTCTCCTCTGAACTCTTAAATCTTACACCCAAACTCCTCTTTGTAGGTGTGAAGGCTTTTCCAGTCTCATAAAAATAACTTCCAGCAGAACAATTTTATGAACTGAATTCTTTTAAATGTTATACACATACTAAGATTTAAGTCCAATGGAGAACTTCAGATTGAAAAGCAGAGTTCTTGGTGTACGAGTGGTCAGAGGGGGTGATGCTGGCATTGGAGGGGTTGCGGGGAGGCCCCACTTACAGGTCCTGGTCTGACACTCAGCCCTGCCCACCCCTGTGGCAACTCCACAGAGTAGGAGTTTCTGTTCATGGACAGAAGCCAAGTGTCCCACACCAGACCTAGCACAGAATGGGTGCTCAATAAATATTTGGTGAAGAAATATATTATTCAAGCAACAAATTAGAATAATTTTAGGGGTCCATCCAAAAACAGATTTCTTTTAAGAAAACCACATACTCAGGGCGCCTGGGTGGCTCAGTTGGTTAAGCATCTGCCTTCGGCTCAGGTCATGATCTCAGGGTCCTGGGATCGAGCTCCACGTTGGGCTCCCTGCTCAGCGGGAAGCCTGCTTCTCCCTCTGCCCCTTCCCCCATTTGTGTGCGCCCCCCCCAAGTAAATAAAATCTTTTTAAAAAAAGAAAACTGCATACCCACCATTGGATCGATCCACACTGTATTTCCTAAAGCCAATATCACTTTGGCATCATGCAATTTTCCAATAATTTTACGATGAATGTACCTAGTAACCTAGAAAAAAAACCATTTAGGTAATTTCTCTGAAGCTTTAGGAAAATATCTTATTCTGTTTATGCTGTATAGTTTTGCAAAATATGTCTCCATGCATTTCACTTGAGCCTTACCCCCACCCCATGAGTCAGGTTACAGAGGCCCTCATGCCCCTGCGTGGACAAGGGTAATTAACAGGGGAGCTGAATAAGGACAGAGGCAAATGGCACCTCTGGACCCCCCAGGCTGCATGTTCCCCATTGCGGCCATGTGTCCTAGCTCTCCTCTGTGAACAACAAGTCTGTCTCTGGAAGCTCACTGAGCCTGAAGAGACCCTGGAGCTGAGGGGCCCCCGGCTTCCATGTACCCTGTCCCGAGCACATGGCTGATGTTTGTCTCAAGCAGGGCCCCAGCAGACCCGACGTGCCAGAGTACTCCTTCAGGCCCATTTCCTCTCCTGTAAAGCAGACAGGAGGGAGCTGGCTCATCACAATTAGATGCTTCCATCCCCCTTGAACCTTGCACAGTCATTTTAAAGAATACACATGGGAGAAACTTGCCCCCTTTTCCAGAGGCCCCTCTTTAAGAAATACTTGTGGTTGATCGTCTTGACAGACCAAACGTTTCTTGAAGACAAGAACCATGACCTTCTTGCTAATGGCTACATCCCCAGAGCCCAACGGTACCAGACCACAGGGACACTCTGAATACTTTGCAGAAGGAAAAAAAACCACTATTTAATAAGGAGTATTTTTAATGGACCTCTAACAGCAGTGTCGTGTGTTCATCCTGTATTGTGAAAACACTCACCTGTTTAATCCCTGGACCATGTCTGACCTTGTTTATAACCCAAACTGTTTTTACTTTGCCAACTGCAAAGTCCTATTAATTGGATTTTATGAAATTTAACCCTCCTTTGAAGAATCAAGCGCATCGTTAGGAAGAAGACTCACTGCTCTGCTGATGAGCGGGACCAGCTGTCTGGCAAGCCATGGAAGCCCACCTGGGGCGGCTCTTTCGTGTACTGTGTGTTCTCTCCACCTTCGGTGCCTCATCTGGTCTATGTAGGGAAATCCTAGGGACTCTTCCTGAAGGGCCCAGAGGAAATGCCCTTCCTGTGCTCTCTTTCCTTGCCCGGCCTCCCAACCCCAGGGGAATGAGCTGGCCTCTGCCTCCATTTGATGGGGGTACCCACTTGGGGCTCACACTGTTTCCTCCCAAGCTGGCAGCCAACTTATTTCACCGTGATGCGTAGCTTATACCAATTCTAAGACTGTGAGCACTAATGATGACGACGACCAGCCGGGCGAGGGTCTTTAACTGTCAGGAACCATGAGGCTTCTTAGCCAAACTTAATACTCTAAATTTAAATACACCTCGATTCTGTGTATATTCTGAAAGTCAACAAAGTACAAAAAACCAAAATAACTTACCTTTGGATTCCACTCAACTTCATTGTCAGCGGGTTTCACTCTGCAAACAATGAACTCCACCGCCTGGGGGGGCAGAGCGTGGAAATTTTCCGGAAGATGCAGCAGCTGGTCTCTCGGGACGAGTCCAGTCCGGCCTTCATCTATAAACTTCACAAGGACACTGTCTGGACCCCAGGTGTCTTCTTTTTGGCTCAGCTCCAGCACCTCAACCCTGGAGAACCACCGTAGCTTTAGTGTAACACAGAGATCCCAAAGGAAAATCATCTCTGCCTCCCCACCTACTCATTAAATCCAAGAAGACTCCAAACTGCAAAGTTCTTTTCCATACTAGAAATAAAAATTAGCTCGAGCCCCTAAGAACACTCAGAATGGCTTATTCGAGTACACGGAAGTATAAAGAATGTGTACTACTTTTGACTAGAGTAAACCCCTTTATCGGACAACACGATGAAAATCAACTCAGTGAAGTGAAGTTTCCACATTTCTCGGTCGAGCCTACCCCGAGCGGAGCCGGAAGCGGCACGGGAACACCGACCGCACAGCCTACATCATCCCGCCACGGCTCAGCCTGCTCATCTGTGAGAGGGGACCCCATCTCACGGCAATCACATGAGCGTGGAGTGAGGCGGAGACGTCTATGTAGGCGGCACAGGGACAGCTCTGGAAGCGTGACACCGCCTTCCGTGCCCTGTGCTCAGGAGCCAGGAGCCCAGGGCCAGGGGAGTGTCAGGTGCAGAGCCTCATCGGGCGGCTGGGGGGACACGACGCTGCCACCCCCCCGCCCACCCAGGGGCCAGGCTACATCCGCGCACACCGGGGCAGATGGACACGGGTGCAAACAGGGATTCGATACCACTGAAAGGTGCCTCCTGTTTCACAACTCTTAAGATGAAATACATAGACCTCTTACCTGTGATAAAGTGTTTTTTCTGCTAATCCATATAATCCGAGTTTCTCCACCTTTTCAACAGTCGTTTTATTGCTGTTACCCTTAAAATACTCATTCATTTCAGCATTAAGAGTTGCATAAAGATCCACTTGTTTATCAATTATACGACCAAAATAATGCGTTGCATTCGAAATATAAAAGGGTATTATCTGAAAAATAATCAGCAAACATATTCAGAAAACAAACTCAATCTAAACCAAAAAGCTATCTGCAGAATCAGCCCCTGACCTAAGAGCCCACAGTGCGCCGACAGGGATGGAAACGTGAACCAGGAAACTGGCCGGCACACGACAGAACCTTCCTGTACCCACAGAGGGCTGTGGTTTCCCTTTAAATCTAAAGGAAAACTTTCTGTTAATCTATTTTAAAACTTTATTATTGTTTGTTTACTCCATACCGCACTTTATAAAAATCATTCTTAAATAGCATCCCTTTCTCTTGAGCTCTTTCTGCTTTGTTCCCGTAACAAGCAGTCTATTTTGCATAGGAGGTGCTAGGGATAGGAGATAAGCCACGTCCTATGGACAGATGGGCCGCAGCCAGCATGTGGTCAAGGCAGACAACTCTTCACAGGCGAGGGTATGCAGGGTGGCTGGTGTGCGAGGGGCAATGTCGGCGTGCATGTGTGTTAGCGAGAGCGCGGAGAAGGCACTGCAGACCCGGAACAGCCTGCATGAAGGCGGGGAGTGGTGAGCTGCCCCAGCAGAGGCCAGGGCAGAGGAGTCACCTGCTGGGAAGGCAGAGGGGGCAGTGCTGACTGGGAGGCAAGCAGGCTAGAAGGCAGGGGTGAGGTCACCCCTTGTGATCAATCTCACAGGCTGACAGCCCCTAGCCCTCCTCTGTGGCACCCGAGCCCCCCTGCTTGCTGTTCCCCCACTCTCACCGCCAATGAGCTCTGCCCGGTGCCACAACACGCCACATTAACTCCTACCTCAGGGACTCGCTGCTTCCTCTCCCCGGAACAGTCTTCCCCAGGTTTTCCATGGCCGGATCCTTATCCTTTGGCCCTCGGTGCAGCTGCCCCTCAGAGAGTGCCTCCCTGCCCATAATCCCCACAGGCCCTCTGGCACTTTGGTGCATTTCACCTTCTCCAGAGCACGTGTCACCATCTTTCCCACTCACCTGTTCCAGAAAAACCCCCGAAATGTGCCCAGAAAACCCCCAGTCCTGGGCACACAGGTTTTTTTTCCAGCCATACCGCCCCCTAGGCCCCAACTGTTTTGACTCCACTCTCATGAGCAGTCCTGTACATAACTAATTCACTCTGTTACAGTCACAGGATATGAGGTAAGGACATAAAAATCAACTGCATTTCTAAACAATCAGAAAATGAAGTTCAAAGAAAAATAACATTAGCATCTAAAAACATGAAATGCCAGGAATAAAGTTAACACAGTGAGGACAAGATCAGTCTACTGAAAAGTATAACACATTGCTTAGAGAAATTAAAGGTGACCTAGATGAAGTGACAAATATACCATGTTAATGGACAAGACTCGGTATTGTTTTGTTTTATTTTTAAAGATTTTATTTATTTGACAGAGAGAGACACAGCGAGAGAGGGAACACAAGCGGGGGGGGGGGGGGAGGGAGAAGCAGGCCTCCCACCGAGCAGGGAGCCCGATGCGGGGCTCGATCCCAGGAGCCTGGGACCATGACCTGAGCCGAAGGCAGCGGCTTAACCGACTGAGCCACCCAGGTGCCCCCAAGACTTGGTATTGTTAAAATGTCAATTCTTCCATATTAATCTACAGACTCAATGCAATGCCACTCAAAATCCCATCAGGCTTCTAAGTACAAACTAGCAGGCTGATTCTAAAATTCTCTATGGATATGCAAAGGAATAGTCAGAAGGATATTGAAGAAGATGGGCAAATTGGAAGGCATCCCTACCAGTCTCCAGGATTACTTACAAAGCTACAGCAATCAAGCCAATGTGGTACCACTTAAGGGTAGACAAAGAGACCAAGGAATAGAATGAAGAATTCAGAATTCACAAATATTGTCTCTTAATTTATGTCAAAGGTGCCAATGTAATTAAGGGTGAAAGGAAGGTCTTTATAATAAATGATGCTGGAGCAACCAATTATCCATAAGGAAAAAACTTTCTCCTTACCCACACCACGCACACACAAAAATTAATTTGAAATGGATTATAGACCTAAATGTAAAACCATAAAACTTCTAGAATAAAAAAAATAAGAAGACTCTTTGCAACCTTAGGAGAGGCAAAGATTTCTTATGACATGAAAAGAACAAAATGTAAAATAAAAAAGTGATACAGAAGGCTTCATCAAAATTAAAGACTTCCGCTTTTCAACCGAGGGAAAATATTTGCAATATATCTGACAAGGCATATCCATAATCTACAAAGAACTCTTAAAACTCAACAAGACAAACAACCCAAATTTAAAAAATGGGCAGAAACTGTCAACAGAGAGTTCCTAAGAGAGATACAAAGGGCTAAATAAGCAGTGAAAAGGGGTCCAAGATTCTTTATCACCAGAGAAATGCAAATAAATATCCATGCAAGTGCAACAGAGTGGCAAAAACTAAAGACTGAGAACACCACGTACTGAGAATGTGGACCCACTGGCCCTCTCACGTGCAGCACTGGTGAAAATGTAAAATGGTGCAAATTGTTTGGCAGATTCTTACACACACTTACCCTATGACACAGCATTTCCACTACATCTCACCCAAGAGGAATGAAGAGGTAGGTCTGAAAAGACTTGTAAGCCAGAAGAAGCTCAGAGCATCCAGAAACTGCAAACAACCCAAATGTCCATCAGCTTGTGAACACACAGACAAACTGTAGCATACCAACATAACGGAATCCTGCTCAACAACGAGAAAGACAACACAGGTGAATCTCAGAAGCGGTACGCTACCTAACAGAAATCAGACTCCAAACACTACCTACTGTATGATTCCATTAACATGAAAATCTAGTAAAGACAGAGCTCTAGCGGCAGAAAGCAGGTCCGGTGGCTGCCGGGAGTGGGGGTTGGGATGAGGACTGACCGCAACAGACCAGGAGAGACCTTTTTGGGGTCACGAAAATGTTCGTATCTTCACTGTGGTGGTGGCTACATGGCTGTATGTATTTCTCAAAACTCAACGAACTGTACACTTCTAACTAGGGATTTTTATTGTACGTAGACTGTACCTCAATACAGCCAATTAGAAGTGGGGGTCTGGTTAGACAGGGTCTGGGAAAGTGGCAGCAGCAAAGTGTCATACGTTTTGACTCTGAATCTCCACATAAAGACAGAGCAATGAGATGGCAAAACCAAATACCAGGGATATACTTTGCAACAGAACTAATTGACAAAATATCACCACAGACCCCCGAATAAAAGCAGATGAGGAAAATAACAAAAGAGAAAATCAAGGTGACCTTGGGTTTCACGATGACCCTGTGGATAGGCCAAAAGCACAATCCATGAACGAAACAACTGGAAAGCTGGACGTCATTAAAATTAAAAACTTCTGCTCTGTAAGACTATAAGGAGAACAAAAAGACAAGCCACAGACCGGGAGACAATTTTTGCAAAACATATTTCTGAGAAAGGACTGGTGTCCAAAATCTACAAAGAACTCTTAAAACTCAACCATAAGAAAACAGACGAACCAATTAAAACATGGGCAAAAAAACCTGGACAACTCACCAAAGACGACATATGGGTGACAAATAAGCACATGAAAAGATGCTCAACATCAGCAGGGAATTGCAAATTAAAACACTGAGATACCACTCCACACCTACTCCAACAACTAGAATCCAAAACACCGACAATGGCACATACTGGCGAGGGCAGGAGAGCCAGGAGCTCACACTCTTTGCCGACTGGAATGCAATCGGAGCAAAACAGTTTCACTGTACAATCCAACAATCACACTCCTTAGTATTACCCAAGTTGAGTTGACAACTCATGAGTCCACAAAAACTGCCACATGAATATTTCCCATAGCCTCATTCATAACTGCCAAAACTCGGAAGCAACCAAGATGTCCCTCAATAGGTAAATGGATAAACTGGTATATTCTGCAATAAAAAATGACCTACGAAGATAAGAGGATGTGGAGGAACCTCAAATGCGTATTGCTAAATGAAAGAAGCCAGTTTAAAAAACCTGTGTATTGTATAGTTCCAATTCTATGACATTCTGGAAAAGGCGAAATAATGGGACGGTAAAGTCTTGGTGACGACCTGGAGTTCCAGGGAAGAGGGGAAGGGTGGAGCATGGGGGACTTGCAAGCAGTGTAAGAATTATGTGATACCGTCACAGTGGAGAGGTGTCACTATGCATTTGGCAAAATCCCTAGAATGTGCACTACAGGGAGTGAATCTCAATGTGAACTACTGACTTTAGTTAATAATAATGTTATCAATATTGGTTCAGCAACTGTCACTCATGCACCACACTAATGCAAGATGTTAATAATAGGGGGAATTTTTGGGGGGGATGGTAGAGGGAACTCTGTATTTTCTGCTCAAATTTTCTATAAACCTAAACTGTTCTAAAAAATAAACATCAGTTAATTTAAACAACAAAATAGCAGATGAAAGAAACCCAGCCAGATCACAAAGCCTGCATGGTGTCACTACCTGATGGAGCCAGACACAGGGGAAGTCTGTGAGCGGCAACAGGTACTCACTGGAAATACGGGGCAGGGGGACGAGAGCAGCTGAGCCTGGAGGCTTTCATGCACTCCAACAACGGGCGAAGCCTGGAGCCCTGTGGAGTCTCGAACTGTCCATCCAAAGACACCAGATATGAGGGAAGAGAAGGGCCAGACGCAAGTGGGGAGGGAAACGGGGCCAGAAGATCTTAACAATCTCAGAACTGATGTCTCCTTTTTTTCTTTTTTTTTTTATAAGAAACGGAAACGAGAATTCTAAAATTCTAAAAGTCACCCTGACCCACACCTCCTTCTAAAATTTAAGGAAAATATATTTTATCTAAAAAGGAGCCGTAGCAAAGTATCAAAGTCAGATCCCATATTAAATCATAACAAAAAAGAGAATAAGGACAGTAACAGTCCCTACAGATAATGAGAGCCACTAGAAAAGATGTATCCACAAGACAGACCAAAACTGTACCCATCCATTTCAAAACAAGCTACCTTTCCTCTCGTTCATTAAGAAAATAATGGGGTACTTGGCTGCCTCAGTGGAGCATGTGACTCTTGATCTCAGGGTTGTGAGTTCAAGCCTCATGTTGGGCATAGAGATTACTTAAAAAAAATCTTTAAAAAATTATAAAAGAGATACATATATGATAAATGATATGTACAAAAGAACAACCTAAATTTTAAAAAAAACTCAGAAAGGAGGTGACAGAACTAGGAAGAAAGAATGGTGCAAATGAACAGAACAGATCTGCCTTAGGAAAAAGGGAAGGCAGAAACGAGAGCAATCTTGAACTCAAGAAGAAAGGAAGAAATATTAAAAAGAATTCAAAAGAAAGTGACACACTCTTAACTCAGTAATTTTATCTACATTTCAGAATTTTCCTCAAAGGAATAATCATGGATTTTTTTTTGAAAGATTTTATTTATTTATTTGAGAGAGAGAGAATGAGAGAGAGCACATGAGACGGGGAAGGGTCAGAGGGAGAAGCAGACTCCCTGCCGAGCAGGGAGCCCGATGCGGGACTCGATCCAGGGACTCCAGGATCATGACCTGAGCCGAAGGCAGTAGCTTAACCAACTGAGCCACCCAGGCGCCCAATCATGGATGTTTTGAAAAGATGTGCTATCATTGCATTATTTTTAATGGTCCCCATTCCCAGATGGAAATAACTTTCTGAAAATATAACTAAAAAGCCTCTTAACCATTGAAGTGGTTTATCTATTTTCCCGATTTGACTTTGGTTTTCTAAATAAACTAGGGTCTTGTAATAAGGCACCTTATAAGGATCCATGCCTATCGTCAGGTTAATGGCGGTTCATTAAGAGTGTCGTAATTATCCTGCTGCTTTAGAATGAAGCATGTTAAGGGATGCTTCAGTGCTCAGTCGGTTGAGTGGCCAACTCTTGGTTTCGGCTCAGGTCATGATCTCAGGATTCTGGGACTGAGCCCCGCGTCAGGCTCCACACTCAGCAGGGGGATCTGCTTGAGGATTCCCTCTCCCTCTGCCTCTCCACCCCACACTCACGTGCTCACACACTCGCTCGCTCTCAGATAAATAAAGCAATCTAAAAGAAAAAAAATGAAATACATTCATTAAAATGATCATTAATCATTGAACAAAGTGCAGCAGAACATACTTTGATGTATCCAAATGTTGGTAGAGTTTGATTGGATAATTTCCTTGGCATATCTATTTCTGGATTAACATGGTGTCTATCAGGACAGATCCTTTTGTCTCTGAAAAAAAATAACTGGATTTTAAAAACAAAAACAATACTTTTTTTAACATGAATTTCAAACTATTCTTCAGGAAAATTAATCTATAATTGAAATCAGAGGACCTTTACTCTAAATACTTTAAAGTAACCATATTAAATAATTCAGATGACACAACATGCACATTAGTGAAAAGAGGTCCTAAAATTTAATTAACACTGAATAAACTTAAAGAGTTACTCCATTATTTCTCAAGACATTCTGAAAATGAACAAAATGTACTTCCAAAATAAAGACTCTGCATCAGAAATTTATCACCACAACCCAAAACAAAGGCTAATAATTAACCTCTAAACCAGAAGTCATGCTGTAACCCAAACTGAGTAACAGTTAAACCTCTGGTTTCAAAAGTCAATAGCATAATCAAAATTGCCACTAATAACCTGTTTAATGTACCATAGTTCAAAAAAGTTAAAGTCAACAGTTATCTTAAAATGAAGCTCAATCCAATTGATACACATCAGACATCTCCTACCCAGTCCCAGCGATCACTGGTCAAGCGCTGGCATCATGTCTGGATCGGTGAGAAGGCCCCCCATGACTGTTGAGATACCCATGCTCTCCAAACTGATTTATAGTATCAATGCACATGCTACCGAAAGTCAGGTAATGTTCCTGAGGAAACTGACAAGCCTATTCCAAAATGTATGTGGAGATGCAGTTGACTTAAAATAGCCAAAACCACCTTGATGAAGAGCAAAGTTGGAGAACTTACAAACCAGATTCCAGGACTCACTAGAACATAAGCTACAGTGAGAAAATGCAGTACCAGTGTAAGGACAAAGAGACCAAAGTAACACAGAGTCCACGTGTGGACCTCATACACTGGTTTATGTGGTGGTCATAAACATCATCTGGTTTATGTCAAAGGCACCAATTCAGGGAGAACACAGTGATGTTTTAAATAAAGGATACCAGAGCAAGTGATTATCCACACAGGAAAAAGTAATCCTTGCCCCGTATCTCACACTGTACACAAACATTAACTCACCCTAGATTACACTGAAGTGTGAAAACAGCCTATAAAGCTTTTAGAAGAAAACAGAGAAGAGTGTCTTCATGACCTAGAGATCAGCAAGTATTTCTTACATTAAGGACACAAAGTAACATCAACCAGGAAATACTTCATCAAAATTAAAAATGTCCACTCCTCAAAAGATTCTTACAAGAGCGGAAAGGCAAGCCATGGACTGGGAAGAGATCTTCTCTAGGCACATCTCTGACAAAGCAGTTATATCTAGAAGGAATAAAGTACTCCCACAAACCAATAAGAAAAAGGGTAACACCCAATGTCAAAAATGGGCAAAAGACCTGAACGGGCACCTCACAAGAGGCTGGTCAAATGTCCCACAGGCATGTGAAAAGACACTCATCATTAATTACTTGGGAAATCAGATGGAAACCACGGTGTGACACTCTCCCCCAGCTGTGTCAGGGAGGGTATGGGGCCACTCAGCTCTCGCATACACGGCTGATGGGATTGTGAAACAGTCACACGCCTCCAAAAAGTTACACGTGTGCTCACCCCGTGACTCAGCCATCCCATGCCAAAGTCTAGCTTCCAAAGAAGCGGGTGCATGTTTCCACAGAAAGACACGTGCAGGAGTGTTCACAGCAGCTTCATACGTAATAGCCAAAAGCTGGAAACAATTCGCAGGCCCATCAACAGGAGAATGGATACATACACTGTGATATATTTATACAACAGAATACTGTGCCACTAAATAGATAAATCCATCCATTGGATCCATGCAGGAACACAGATGAATGTCGCAGACAGTAGGCTGAATGTACAACTCCATTTATATAAAGTTGGAAAACGAGCAAAATTCATCAATGTGGATAGACAGTGGGGGGCGGTTACTTCTAGGGGGAGGGCAGACTGGGAAGGAGCATGGGGGCAGCTCTAGGGTGTCTCCCAGAGGCGGGCAGTGGTGTGAATCGTGCGTACATACGTGAAGGTCATCCAGCAATAAACGCATCACTGTGCCCTTTACTGTACATTTCAATTTTTTTAAAAAAATGGCTTACTTGCAAAAACCAAAAGCCTTAAGATACGGACAAAGAGGCCTTCTGGCTTTTTTATCTTCTTTGGCTTCCAGAACCCCGGCAGTAAACTCATACAGCTCCGAGGGAATCTTGGCATCTGTCCGCTCCAGGTAGCGCAGGACGCCGACCGCGTGGCACGCATTCCTCTCTGTCAGCAGCAACACGGATTTGGTCTTCTTATCTCCCTGTTCCGCAGGAGAACCCTTAAAATCGGGAGTGAATAGAGGCAACAGGTCATCCATCCCAGTCTAAATGACGAAACTTTGTGGACTCTGCATTTGTCATTGCACAGATAATGCCGGAGAATATTTAAAGATCAAGAAAGTTCATCAGACCTGCTCGGTGGAACTCTGAAAACGACCAGACATGCAGTACAGGCGTCCACCAAAGATTTTGGGGGAGGAAGGAAAGCTGAAGTGGATCACACACGTGGCATCAGTGATGGTCAGGAGTGGTATGCAATCATCCGTTAAGGCTGCGGAGAAGGAGCCGGCAGTCACAAACGAGGCTGTGGTTTTCCTGCACTTACTACAGAGCAGTTCCGGGAACCGGACTTGAGCACAGTTCTCTACTGCATCTCACTTCTTAGATGCCAACAAACTTCTTCCCCATTTGTTTCCCCAAAATGTCACACACAGCCCAGTGATGACGTTCCAGAGAAAAGTGGTTCCCCTCATTTTAGCTTGGAAAATGCTTCTTTCTATTACAAATCTAGGCTGCCCATCAATCTTTCACTTATTTCATACATTGTGATTTTTCGATCTCTAACATCAGATTTCACAACCATCTATGACAGATTTCATCACAGGCACACACACGTTTATGTTCCGCCTGGAACCCCAGGGAGAAGGCCTACACTCAGAGCTCCGCAGGTCCCTGCCTTCACCTCGACACCAAAATCTTGGCGGAGTTTAACCTTCATTCTGAAATTAACATTACTAATAAATTCTCAGTAAATCGGAAATGATGAGAAACTGGGAGACTAGCTATACACATAAACTGAAGACATGATTCCCCATTAGCTCAGCCTTCTCTAAATGGAAGTAGAAATTAAAACACTTACCTAATACAATGTGAGAGCCAGAACTTAACTTCTTCTTCCACTGTTCTAAAACACTTTTTAAATTAAAAACCATTTCTTTATGCATTTTCAAGCAAAATATTGAACTGCTTTCTACTACCTAAAGATGAAACCAAATAGGCCAGTTCACAGTCAGGAACATAAGCTTGAAGTTAATTGTTCCATCAATAACTATCAGTATAAAACATTTAAAATTATCTGTGAGGGTATTACCTCATTGATCCACAAATTATAAGAACAAGATGATTGTAAACTGAAACAAATATATTTCTAAAATTCTATACTTTGTATCTAAAAACTTGCTTAAGTGAAAAACATTTTGCTAAAACTACTCTTTTTAAATAATGCATGCATACACAGATGTGTGCATATATATGTACACACACAATCAAATTTATGTGCCAACGTCACATTTTTTCATGACACCTCTAGTTCATCATTGCTGAAAGATGGATGTAGTACTGATTCTTATATTTTTAAAATTTTTTTATAGAACCTTTTTTTAAAAAGATTTCTGTATTTGAGAGGGAGCATGTGGGGGGGGTGCAAAGGGAGAGGGAGAGAGAATCCCATGCAGACTCCCCATGAGCACGGAGCCTGACGCAGACTCCCCACTGAGCATGGAGCCTGACGCGGGGCTCAATCTCAGGACCTGAGATTACGACCTGAGCCAAAACCAAGAGTTGGAAGCCTAACTGACTGCACCATCCAGGCGCTCCTGATTCTTACATTTTAATTTGTATTTGGCTTCATTTCTACATTTTACTATTTATGTAGCTTTAGATTAAATAAATCCGTAGCCAATTTAGTTGGCTGTTCTGGCCACGTGATCTATCTCTTGGTGTTACGGTCCCTACTTTTTTAAAGAGGGTACAGAAGTCCCTGGCATTTCTTTATGAATGGGATCCTTTTAATGACAAAACACAGAGCACTGGCCCCCTTAGGGAACATCTGCTTCCTTGGAAAGGCTGGTCCCACCTACTTGGCTCCTCCCTCAAGGTCAGGCCTCCCGCTGTCCTCATTGTTATGCATACTCCACAGCACTAGCCACCCCTTCTTCAGACTCTTGATCAGCTTGTAACGTTTTATCCCGTCAAATATTTAACTACCGATAATTCTCTGATGATTTCGACATTCAATCATGGTTTAAACAAACAGTAAGGACATTTATGGGCTCACCTTACACACTATTTCTGTTTCAGCTACAGAACCGGTGAAGATCAAGGTCTTTTGTGCTTGACTTGGAATGAAATCTAAAATCTGGAGTAAAGTAGAGGTTTTTTCACATTCTAGGCAAAGGTGTACTACCTGGTAATGAAATACAGCAACAGTGTGGTTTTAAATGGTGCTCCAGTTTCACTTTTCATCGCTAAGTGAGGGTCTTAACAGCAAAGAGTACAGAAAATCAATATAAACCTAAATACACGATTACAGATTTTTGTATGAGATTAAAGCTGTAACAGTTTAGGAGGAAGCCATGATATCATGGCTACTCGCTTGTGTTCATCAGCCCCCACCTCCCATTTGCCCACAAGCCCGTACCTGCTGGACGCTGCCATAGAGAGCAGCCTCTTCCATGGCTGTGACCACGATGTAGGGGTCGTTCATGAACTCTTTGACCAACTGCTCTATATGTCTGCTCCAATGAACGCCGACAGCAACCATCTGATGTGGTGCAGATTCCCTTTCTTCAACGTCAATATTTTTTTTAAAGTTATCTAATATAGCAAACATCTAAAAAATTAGTATAATTAATTTCGTTTTTATTTCAGAAGGGAGTAGTAACTGGTTGACAGAACATGAAAGGTAAAGAATTGTACATTCTCTGTTCTCAGAGTGGAGGAAGGTCTTTCCAAACAAAAGAAAAAAAACTAAAAAGGAATGTTAAATATAAACAAAACACAAACGATATCTAGGTGAACGTGTAACGTTATGTAACGAAGCATTAACATCCTTATATTAAAAAGTTCTACAAATGGACTAGAAAAAGATGACCCTACCAACAGAAAATAAGCAAAGAAAATGAACAAGCAGCTCAGAGAACAGTACGAGTGGCCAGCATGAAGGCTCGACTTGACAAGTAATCAAGGAAATGCACACGATGCTAATGAGATGCCACTTTTTTTTTTTTTTTTGAGATGCCACATTTAACAAGCCCACAAGAAACGGAAGCTGGCCTAATGCCTCGCACTGCCCGGGCGCGGGGTGCATGGTGTGACAGCATGCTGTCCACGGGAGTTTCCGCTTTCAGAAAGGCAACTGTAGGGCGCAGCATTGTGGGTATTAGTTTTGCAAATCAGAACTGAGGCTTCAGAGGCATTCACAAACCCCACATAGGCCCACACAGTCAGTGAGCAACAAAGCCTGGACTTGAACCTGGGCACATCACTGCTCCCAAATGAAATGCTTGTGGTCATCATGTTACACTGTGCCCAAGAAATGCCTTCTTGTAAGAACTCATAGTCTTTGATCCATTAATCCCCTTCCTAGGAATTTATCCTACGGGAAACATGCAAAAAAGACGTATGTTCTTTAGCCACATGCACACACAAATGATGCTAAACGTCCAAAATTCAGACCATTTAAAAAAACTGTTATGCCCACAGGATTCCATACTGGCCCATGGCCAGCAAACAATCAACCTGTAGAATAGTTACTAATTATACTCCCGATGCTGCTTACTGAAAAATGCAAGTTATAAACTAGCCATAAAATAAGGCCTGATGTTGTCAGTTTTAAGTATCAGCTGACACAGGAATTATTCCAGAACAGGAAGAGCGATTACCTCTGAGTGTAACTCAGTGGATGCTGGGGTTGTTCAAGTACTTTTCTCTGTATCCCAAATTTTCTAGAATAAAACTTATTGCTTCCATAATCATAATAATATCAGTATTTTAGGAAACCTCACTGGAAAAGAATTTTTGGTCTTCAGAGAGAACTTTAAAATTTGGGAAAGAGGGATGACTGGGTGGCTCAGTCGGTTAAGCGTTTGCCTGCTCAGGTCATGATCCCAGGGTCCTGGGATCGAGCCCCACGTCGGACTCCCTGCCCAGCGGGGAGCCTGCTTCTCCTTCTCCTTCCTGATCACTCGTGCTCTCTCTCGCTATCTCTGTCATCCTCTCTCTCTCAAATAACTAAATCTAAAAAAAAGGGGTGCATGGGTGGCTCAGTTGTTAGGCGTCTGCCTTCGGCTCAGGTCATGATCTCAGGGTCCTGGGATCGAGCCCCACATCGGGCTCCCTGCTCAGTGGGGAGCCTGCTTCTCCCTCTCTCACTCCCTGCGGCTTGTGTTCCCTCTCTCACTGTCTAATAAATAAAATTTTAAAAAAAAATCTAAAAAAAAAATTGGCGAAGGAAATTTCGGATGAACTCTCTTCACAATTATAAAAGTTAAAGGGAAAACTTTTCAAGATTAACTGGCTTTTTCTCCCAATAGACACGTCATCTCCTGATTCCTAAAAGCAGGTAAGACTTCAATCATATATACATTTATTTCTGAGGGATAATGACATCTCGATGGAAGCCATACTTACTTCTTCAGTAGCTTCAAAGAATAACACTTCCACCTCATCCAAGATGAGGTGACAGAGTCTAAGAAATAACAAGCTTTGGTATTTGAGAAGTCTCAGGAGGCTGTGGGGTGTTGTAACAATGATGTCACCTACATTTTAAAAGAGAAGACAATTAACATTCAGATTTTCCATAGGTTTTTCTCACACCTTCTAGAACTGCTGTCTAATGACGCAAAAAGCGGTTTTTCTTGCTGGGTGGGTGAGGCCTGGCTGTCCGGGCCAACACTTGTCCTTATCTAGCACCTGGACTCCCACCAGTGTTTGTGCTCCTAAAAGGCAGGGGTGGGGGTTCAGCTGACATCTAACGAACAGGAGGTATTCGATAAATAGTTAATGAGTGAAGGAAATCATGGCGCCTTCTCAGTGGAACAGCTGTAAGCCAAGGTCGAACCTTCGCCCTTCTGTGCCCTCCCGTAACGGACAGTGAGGTCCCACCTGTAGCTGGACTAGTGACATCATCACACAAGCCCGCGTCCTGTGCACCTGCCAGGCAGGGCCCCACTGCACTCTGCAGGGAAAACCAAACAGCTTGGAAAGGATGCTTACACCCCCTTGGAAGCTTCATGTTTTTGGCTTCATCTTTGTGGAGTCCGATTGTTAACAATATGGGATGAAGAGGCCTGGAGGATGTGCTATAGTCTTCCAGTAATTCAAAAGTAAATTGGGCCTTTTTCCACCCAGGGCACACGATGACTGCCAGAGGCTGCAAAGACAAATTCACATAATTTGGGGCAAAAGTTAGGAATTGAACCTAGTCTATGTTGAAGCATGCAGAACATCTCCTTCCACAGAGGAAGCACTATATAATTTGTTTGCTACCATCATCGTCCTGTAAGTCAGAAAAGATATAATTTCATTAGAATTGACTTAGACACATGGACTCAAATTCCTCTAGGGCTTACACCAAGCATTTCACAAATATTAATTCATTTTGTCTTTAAAACACTCTCACAGGGTAGATGAGGGGTGTGAAGCACAGAGAGGTAAAGTTAGTTGCCCAAGGCCACACAGCTAATACACAGGAGCAATAGGATCTGAACCCAGGTGGTCTGGCTCCAGGACTCCTGCTCCCAGGGACCAGGCGAACTAACGGCCCCCTGAAAGGGGCTTTAGAAAAGGTTAGCATCTCTTCCTTAGGGAAGTCTGCTACGGCTCCATCTGAACGCTGACGGCCACCATCCCATAGTTATCTCCTGTGAAGTCACACTGTGCTGCCTGCCAAACACCCTCCCGGACACATGCCCTCCATGAACTGAAGACAAGAACAAGTCTCCCCTCTCCTTCACGCAGATCCAGGTAGGGCACCAGCTTCTAGGCACCGGGCCTAAAAGCAAGCTGACCACAGAGATGTGGAGAAAGCAGAGGACACAAGAGGCAAGACCCAGGCATCATTTTTGGCCCAGCCCCGATTCTATCTCAACACAGGCTGCAGGGGTGTGGTCCAGAGGGGTGAGCTGCTCACTGAAGGATGGAGATGTGAATACATAATAACCCCACCAATGCAGACTTCCAAAGGGCAATCATTAAAACCACATGGCAGAATGAGAAAAATGAGTCTCTCTCCTACACACAATGGTGTCTTTTCTTACTATGATCTTTCACCTTCTGATGAGGAACAGAGCTGCACTCACTGTATCCTCTGAGACATGTCAGGGACAGAGCTCTTCTGTATGGGGGTTCACCTGACCACCCGGACCCTGCAGAGCAGGGCTCACTATCCCCATCACCTGACCCCACACCCCACTTCTCTCCTTTCCAGCATCCTTCACAGATCCTTGCAGATTCCGGCACATGGGAAGAATAAAGTAGGGTTCTACAACAGTGTGGGATGCTCTGAAATAATTAAAAGAATGTGAGACACGATGACAGAAAGACCCAAGTTCTAATCCCACTTCTTGTCTCACTTGTCAGATGAGGCTAATTTTCTCATCTAGGAAACAATGAAAACCGTACACGGCCAACCATCTCACAGGGTGACCGTGACAGAGGAACTGAATCAGTGGAATAAGTTTATAAGCGATATATTCATCTCCAAACACCAGCAATTTCTTGGCTCAGCCGATGGCCACAACAGGGGCTCAAGGGGAGAATCAGTGGCAGAGAATCAATGACTCTGGTAAGTTCCTGTCTTGTCATGGAAACCAAATGAGTAATGTAACCCAAACGTCACCAAAAGTTCAGCATAAAATTAAAAATTTAAGCCATGTTGTTGTGGAAACAAGACTGTCTCCAACTTACTCCATTTCTACTTGGTAAAGACTTGTAGCAGCCCCCCGTTTGCAGAATTGTAAGGACTGGTGGGAGGTACAGCAGAGGATCATTTCCACAGTGAGAGATGACCACCACGTCACAGCCCCGGGCTATGGGAGGCCAAGAGTAGGATTCCGTGTGGCTAGGTCCTGGGAACTTGTTTCTTTGAAGAGCCTACAAAACATCAGCCACCAAAAAACCACAAATGAAGCATAGAAAACTAACAAAAACTCCATCTCTTTGCTCACTTCCCCCCCAAACAGCCACTACACATTGCTTATTCTGGTATTTTCTAAGACCTAACTTGACAAGTCCCCAAGTCTTTTCTCAGCACCAAACTTCTGCCCTAAGACGCTTGGTTTTCTAGGCTCCATTAAAACCAAGTGCTTAGAGCTCACCAGAGCAAGGATGTGGCTCCTCCTAATAATCTGTGAATATATCAGCTTTACTTACAAACTTTTTTTTTTTAAACATGCCTTTATTGGGGTGCTTGGCTGGCTCAGTCAGAGGAGCGTTCAACTCTTCATCTCGGGGTCATGAGTTCAAGCCCCACACTGGATGTGGAGATAACTTAAACTTAAAAAAAAAAAACCCCACATGCCTTTATTTGCTTATTTTTCTATGTAACGGTCACTAAAACCTCCCAAGTGTGGCAACAGAAAGAGTTCTCCAGCCACAATGACCCTACGTTCCAAGAGGCTGAATTCATGAGCACAATTTGTGGGTGACGTCCCCGTCCACCCGGCCCTGAGCCCCAGGAGCAGCGCAGACCAGCGACTGGGTGTCCCACGTGCAGCCATCACCCTGCGGCCTCCCGGCACTGTCCCTGCTGTCTGCAAGGCCGGTCATCCTTCCTGGCTGACTTTCTTGCTTTGGTGGAGAACATACTTCAGGAGTGTCTCTCTTGAGGAAGTCAATTCTCTTGCATGTCTTGAAAATGTCTTCATTGCTAGTTTAGGATGGACCTCAAGGTTGGAAAGAACTTTCCACCCGAATCTCGGAATCAGCGCCCCTCTGGTGTTACCGATGGCAAGTCTGAAGGCATTCGTGCCCTCGGAAGCCCCCCGATTGGACGCTTCACAGCCGAGTGCCCGCGATCCTGGCCCCTCGCTGTGGCTGGGCTTGTGGGATGAGGACTCTCGTAATTTGGACAGTCCCTTCCATGAGGTCTGGAAATCACTCGTGTGTTGCTCTTCTCAGAATTTTCTTTTTTTTTTTTTTTAAAGATTTTATTTATTTATTTGAGAGAGAGAATGAGACAGAGAGAGAGCATGAGATGCGGGAGGATGAGGGAGAAGCAGACTCCCTGCTGAGCAGGGAGCCTGATGCGGGACTCAATCCCGGGACTCCAGGATCATGACCTGAGCCGAAGGCAGTCGCTTAACCAACTGAGCCACCCAGGCGCCCCTCTTCTCAGAATTTTCTGCCCACCTCCTTTGCTCTTTTTAAAAAATCCCACTGCAGAGACTGGACCTCGAAATGACCCTCAAATTGTTTCCCTCCTATTTCCATCTCCTTGTCTTTTTGCTCTACTTTCTAAGAGTTAGCTTCCATTTTCTCTCTCTAATCTGCTGCTTGGTTTCTATCTCTACAGCATTCTGAATTTCCAAGAACCGTTTTTATCCTCTGGGCCTTTTTTATAGCACCCTGTTATTGTTTAATAAATACTGTTAATACTTATCTCTGAGGGTATTTATTTTGTAGCATTATCTTCTATTGCCTACACTGTTTCCTTCAGAGTTTTATTTTGGTCTTTTTTTTAAAAAATGCTTTTATTTTCTTTTTAGGTGGGAGGTTTCATCAAATGTCTAAGGATCCCTGATGTGTGTTCGCCAGGAGGAGGCCCACTAAAAGCAGGCTGGAAGACGTGTGGCCAGCGCAGAGCTCGGCTCCGTGAGCGCCACACCCCTGCAGGAAGCCAGGGCAGCAAGCAGGTGTCTTCACTGGGAGAATTCATCTGAAGGGCATTTCTAGGGCCATTCAGTTCCTTCAAAAAGATCATCCTTCCCGAGAGGCTGACTGTGGATGCTCAGGAATGGGTGGAGGAAAGTTCAGAACCTCCTACTTCTCTCCTTCCTCTACTAGTCAGCCACACTCTGGTGCCTGTTTTCCATCTTCTGAAAGCCTGTGCAAATTTCTAGGCCACTAAAGACTTTGTTCTCAATTCAATTCATCCTTGTGGATTTAGCCTCTTTCTTCCTGTCCTTTTTTTTTTTTTAATCAAGAAGGAAATAGAAAAGCATGCGTGGTCAATTTACTAACTGGAATGGTAGGTCTCTAAAGCAGTTTTGAGAACACTCGGAAATACAGCATAACTACCCTGGCAACTTGTTGCTCCTTCTAATAAGCCCCTTTCCAGGGACGCATTTGAAAACTTATCTCAGAAAAGCATTAAGAATTATACAGTGGTTTTGCCACTTATAGGAAGTAAACCTGAAGAATACACGAGAACTTAATAACAAAAGCTTAACAGAGGATTTCAAAAGCCAAGAAACGACACAAGTGCAGCTTTGGAAGGGTTTCCTAAAAATCCTCCTATGTTTGAACAGGTCAGCATTCCTTCATGAGCCCGCCTTCAGGAGCACTTTTACCTTTCTCACGTCTGCCGAAAGCGGCGACGCATCAACGGACAAACAAGGCTCGATCTTGTGCCTGAGCACGGCCAAGGGCTGCTGGGAGCCGGACCGCAGCCTCTGCAACTGAGACAGCACGCCCCACAGTTAGTTAGATGCCCCCACCCCGCCTGCCAGCGCAGGAAGCCAACCACTTTATGCAAAGGAAGGACAGCCTAGGTATATATGCTCATCAAAACCCACCCAAAACTATCAAAATGAATGGAAGGAAAATGAAAGGAAGAGCATCTACTATCCCCCACCAAATAATAATTTCTCTAAAGCAGTAATTCACTGGAGAATCTCTAAAAGGGTGTCTTCAGGGAGAGTCCCCACCTAAGGGGGTTTCTCTTCTAATCTCAAATCCAGACGAGGAAGGAGACGGACTTAAAGAGCAAAGAGCTGTCGTGGATTTTTAATATTTTTGTAGGACTGTCATACCTGCTGTAGATCAGAGATCCCATCAGTTCTCAAAGGATCAGGATTTAAAAACTGCAACAATCTATAAAATAGTGAAAAGGACAATTTAAAGGAAAAAGGAGCGTTAATATTTCCTCAACTGAGTTATAATTTTAATTCTTCCTTGACAGAGATAAAATGAAATACACAGTTGGCCCCTGAGCCACATGGGTTTCAACTGTGCACACCCACTTATATGCGGATTGTTTACGGTACAGTACTAAAAATGTACTTTCTCTTCCTAATGGTTTTCTTAATAATATTTTCTCTTCTCCAGCTTACGTTATTATAAGAATACAGTACATGATACATAAGACGTACAAATACATGTTAATCAACTACGTTATCAGTAGGGCTTCTGGTGAACAGTAGGCTATGAGGAGTTAAGTCTGGGGGCAGTCACAAGTTATATGCAGACTTTTAACTGTGTGGGAGGTCAGCACTCTGAACGTCCGTGCTGTTCATGGGTCAACTGTACATCCCAAGGCAGAGCTGTGAAATTACTGCTCATCCCGTTTTGTCCTGTTTATTGTGATAAAAGGCCACAGAGGTCGGGTCAGTACGGAACTGGCCCCTGAACCCCGGCCCCCAGGCTGTGGACACAGTGCCACCAATCCCAGGAACACCTGTTCTGATATGAAGAAAGACTGCAGGACCACCGGGTCATCTCACGTTGCTGAGAAACCTGCCACCTCCTCCCTCCTGTGCCGTAATCCGGAACCACTGGCAGAGTCACTGCCATCGCTGAATCAACGGGTTCTAAGTAAAGGGCATTTAGCCCATGAGGAGAGAAGATACCACCTTTTAATACAAAAATAAAAGGCAACAGAGTACCTTGGGGTTGCTTATCAAGTTACAATTTAATGTAATGAAAGTAAGAAATGAGCTGCACGGGTAATGCAAGGTCTCTCATTCCAGGGAAAACCACCAGGTGCAGCCCCATGGCTTTCAGGGAGTAGGGTGGAGGGCTGCCCTGGGAGGAGGGATCAACACAGCTGCGCTGACAGCCACCCCCAGATCTGTGGGCTGCAGGGGGTGGCCAGGGAGCCCTGTGAAGAGCTCCTGTGGGTGCAAGGGTGTTGCGGGGCCAGAGGGTGGGCTCTGGGAGGCAGGCAGCCCAACGGTGTTGCAGTCAACACCCTCCCCCCCAGTCATTCCGGGCCAATCAGTGGACACAGTACGACCCACCCCGTTCTGAACTGTCGTAAATCCCTTGTCACTCTGGCGACTGACTTCAGAGCAGCCACAGTTACTTGGACTATAAGGGTGTTTTTAGGCTGGTATGGTAAGAAATCATAAAAATGAGTATGAGAATGTTTCATGGATTAAACAAGTAGGAAATAAAGTTACTACTCTGTTGTTAACTCTTCAGTGAATACCTTGTGAATCTGACAAGACAGAAACAAAACAAAACAAAACAAAACAAAACCCAGTTCCACACTACAAGTAACGAAATAGTTTCTCCAGCAGGTGGAAGACCCCTTTAGCCATCAGAAAACCGGGAAGGCAGCAGATGTAAACCCATAGAAGACCAACAGCCCCAAAGACCAACCGTATCTAATTTGTTTCATAAAACTTCACCAAAAGAATCAGGAAGGGGAGGCAGAAAATGACTACAGCGGAACAAATACTAAAAAAAAAAAATCTACCCTAGCGAACAGGAAAAACAATTAACTTCAAAGCCTACAGCAGACATTGTAGGTGTATTTTCCACATGGGAATGCAGGTTTGAAATAAATAATAAAATAATATGTAAATTCTTCCTGCTTATAATTTTATTACAATTATTAAAAAAATGTAGACCAAGGAAATAATTCATACTTCACACAGCCATTCTTCTCATTGTGTTCTTTCTTCTCGGCCAACCTAAGTGGTTTCTCATTTGGTCTCTGACATAAAGCGCTGGAAACCAAAAAACATTGATTAGAATCTCCGAGCCCATTGCCCCAATCCTGAAAATGCCTATATTTTCTGGGAGAAAACTCAGTTAAGTAGCACTGAGGAGTGTGTCGCTCTACATATGCAGATTTATTTCTGTGAGAATGGACACTCTGCCCTCTAAGGATGAAAACCACGTTGAGGTTGCTGGGGCTCACCAAGAGGGGCCTAAGCCCTCCATAGCCGGTCTCTCCTCTGACCTCAGCTGGAAACCCTGTGTAAAGCACAGAACTGAAGGGGAGAGAAGTCAAAACCTGCAAACCACCAGAATCATGGAGAATTCCCAGGGATTTTACACTCCTCTGTCTCCTGGTGTTGGCCTGAGGCTGGCCCCGAACATAGAACTGCACCGCGGATGTGGACACCAAGCACTGAGAGAAACCTTCTATCTCAAGCCAGAGAAGCAGGAAGGGGAGCCGGGGAGCCACAGGCTAGATAGGTACACTGACTGATTTCCTCGTTTCCCTTTTTCTCTTCTGGCCCTGCCCCATGGGCAGCTCCAGTCATGCAGCTGCAGTGGTGACAGGGGGCTGTCACCCAAAACTCCCTCTCTCTAGAGGATCTAGGAAATGGACCCCAGGGTCCAAAGATGTGGGGGAAACCTCCATCTTTTTCCCCTCTTATTTCCACTGCTGTTTCGTTCCACAAGTGGCTCCAATCACACAGACCTGGCATGGCCGTTTCTCCATGAAAAGCCATCTACCTGGACAGAGGCTCAAGGACAGGGAGCATGTAGAAAATGGTCAATGTGAGGAAAATCCTGGAGAAAAGAGAGTGTGCCGGAGAATGACCCAACACAAGTCCCAGGCTCGCCCCAAGCTGAGCATATTCAGAACAGACCCAAAGCGGAACTGCAGTCACCACCCAAACGAGATGGAGTCTGACACCAGAATGGAGTCACTAGTCAGTGACAAACAAACAATGAAAACACCAAGGCCTACATTGTCCAGAGGATTTGAACAGAAACCAATCTCACACCATAATATTCAAAATATCCAGAATACAACACACAAAGAATCAGGAAAACCAGATCGACTGTCAAGGGAAAAGATGATCAGCAGGTGCGAACTCCAGGATGGCAGACAAGTGGGAATCATCACATACTTTAAAGCAGCTATTATAACATGATCCCTGAGAGAGGGAGGGGTGAGCACTCTTGAGTGGAACAATTAAAGTTCTCAGCAAAGAAATACAAACTATAAAAAATACCAAATGAAAATTTTAAAATGGAAAAATACATCAAATAAAATTTCAGCAGGATGGAGATGACAGAAAGCTCAGTTAAGTTAAAGATACATCAGCAGAATTACTAATCTGAAGAATAGCAAGGAAAAAAGGTAAAAAAAAAAAAAAAAATGAGCCAAGTCTCAGGGGCCTTTCGGACAGTATCAGAAGGTATGATACTTGTCTCATCAGAGTCTCAAAAGGACAGGAGAAAGAGATACGTGCAGACAAACATCTGTACAATATGAATACTCTCCAAATCTGATGTAAGACAAAAATATACACATGAAGAACCTTAATGAGCACCAAGCATAAGAAACAGGAGAGAAACTACACCAAGGCATATGTAATTAAATTGCTCAAACCAGAAACAAAGAGAAAATCTCAAAAGCATTCAGAGGAGAAAGACATGTTGCAAACAAAGGAACAAAGAAAAAGATGACAGTAAGTTTTGCGTTAGGAATGATGCAGCAAGCAGACAGGACACCAGTATCTTTAAAATACAGAGGAAAAAAGAACTATCAACCTAGAATTCTATACCTAGCAAAAATACCCTTTTTTCAAAAATGAAGCTGAAATAATTTTTCCAGACATACAGATGCTGGAAGAATCCATCACCAGCAGACCCACAATACAATCAACAGTAAAGGCAGTCCTTCAGGGACAAGCATAACGATACCAGATGGAGATATGAATCTACACAGTGAAAAGCACTGACGGGGAGTGCCTGGGTGGCTCAGTCGGTTAAGCCGCTGCCTTCGGCTCAGGTCATGATCCCGGGGTCCTGGGATCGAGCCCCGCATCGGGCTCCCTGCTCAGCAGGAAGCCTGCTTCTCCCTCTGCCTCTCTGCCTACTTGTTCTCTCTCTCTGTCAAATAAATGAATAAAATCTTAAAAAAAAAAAAAAGAAAGAAAAGCACTGACGGTAACTATGCAGGTAAACACAGAAGGTATTTTTTTTTCTGTTTATTTAAATCTATCGAAAAGACCACTGACCGTTTAGATACAAATGATACTAGAGCCTAGGATGTATAAAGAACGTATAAATGAAATGTAGGACAACACTAGCACGAAGCCCAGGAGGGGAGGAATGGAGCACATGACTAAGATCTTACACTATTTGTGACACAGTGTAACAATAGTACAACTTTTCTGTGATTTCACAAACATCATGAACCCGCCTCTTGATGTGGACAGGGTTAAGGTCAAAGCCTTGGATATTCCTCCTGAACAGCCAGTCTTTGCCCCCCACCACCTTGTACTGCCTTCTGGCCCACACGTATCAGCCTTTACATCAGGACAATTCCACTGGACCTACCTCACAGAAACAACTTTGTCCAACAAGGTAACACAGAGACTCTAGAGCCACTACCAATTTCTGGTCAGTTGTGCTACTAACCAGTTGTTATATGTTTTTCTTTAAAATTAATATAGGTTTAATCAAAATTTCTGGACCACTCTTTATTGATATTGAATCCTTTCCTATCATCAATCATACAAAACACCATGTAAGACAGTATTACAACTCATGTATCTATTCGATTACACTAAATTTTCAAATCATACCTTGCTGCTGGTGTATCTGGCTCAGCATATATGGTTATCCCCCTCTTTGTTGGCCAGTACATGGAGGATTCAACACACTGTAAAAAAATTTTTTTAGAAAGAATGTGTATGCTAGCAAGATATGTATTCTTATGGAGCTCAAATTCCATGGGAGTCATTCTCATGAACAACCATCCTAGATCACTGTCAGGCAACACAGACATGGAGACACAAAGAACTGGATAATGTGGTTATGCCATGGCTACAACCACTAGATTAAAGTGTCCAAGTAGCAAGCAGGTGGCACTTCAGATAATCAGTATTTCAAATGTCCTATAATTATTTCACTTGTCTTGTCGAAGGACTGGAAAGACAGGTTGGACTGGAACTATTAGAGTGTCCCATAATCTCAGGTTTTCACACCCTTGTTAAATGAGCATAAGTACCCCATCCTGCAGAGAAGCCCCTAGGCCAGCAACAGGAGGGAAGCTAGAGTTCTCTTGTTCTTTTGAATTAGAGCCAACACACAAACTATACTTCTTCCTGAAAGACACGACCACGACCAAGAATTTCTTAACAGAAAACATACTTTGGTTCCTAGATTTCAAATGAGAATATTCTAAAATTAACATTGTATGACCTTTATACCTAATGAGCATTTTAAAATACAACCTTATTTACATCTTTCAAAGAGATGCACTGTTGTTTCTTTTCAGACTTTTTTTTAGGTGAACTTCTCAATGAATCCAGATTACATTTTATAGTTTTATCTGCAAAATAAAAAGTGAAAAAGACCTTTCTTAGAAAGTGCTATTGATAGAAAAAGGATTATAAATTTAAAAGTACAATCATAAAAATCTTAATACATGAAATTATTATGGAATAGGGTTTTGAACTAAATTTTACTTGAGGAGATTAAATTTTAAAATCTTGTTTCAAACCTTGTCACACTAAAAGATGTTTAAATAATTCCTTTACTGGCTTACTAGCAATTAAACAATTTATTTTCCCAACTTGGCAGACTATATTTTTCAAAGAGGGCCACACCATGTCTCCCAACATACGTGCTCTTCTTACAATTTGTCATTGACATGTGTCCCACTGAGAGGCGGGCTCTGTATTCCCTTCCCGGGAGCCGGGGGTGGAGGGGCTTGTAAACAACATGAAAGTGGGGTCATGCGACTTCAAAGCTAGACGGCCAAAATGCCATGTACTTATGACCTGTCCTCTTGAATGCTCACTGTCAAAACCCAGCCAGCATGTTGGGAAGAAGCTCAAGCAACCCCATGGAAAGGTCACTATAGGAATTTCCCAATCAGCTGCCAGAGATGTCACCGCCTAAGTGTCAATTGAATCCATCTGTTTCCTCACCACCAGCCCTCAGGTCTTCCCAGCTGAGGCCCCAGACACTGTGGAATCGAGACGAATCCTCTGTGTTATGCCCATTCCGAAGTCCCCACCACAGAATCCATACACATTATAAAATGGTTTACACCACTAACCATTATCAAAGGTTTGCTACAAGGCGATCAGAACCAGAATATCAACTATAACTCAGCTTCAGCAATGATTCAGGATCACACCTGTGCATCTCACTTCTTAATACCACAGTAGGTAGAGAAGGCATTAGAAAACAGGCTGGATTTGAATAGCCAGCAGGCAGCAAAATTCTAAAGCAGACTCAAGTATCTTTATTCTTTAGGCCTAGATCTGATTTGGAAAAGTGACAAACACTGTTCAGTGAATATGAATAATCAAGCGAGGTAATTACACTTGGGTAAAAACTTAGGTGTGATGGAAAGTAAAAGAAAAGGAAATCAACCCAGCAATCATTTTTTAGGGTACGACACAAGCAATCCTGGAAAAGTGTTCACACTAAGCATCAATAAGAGCAACACAACTGAAATGACAAGGTACATCTTTTACCTATTAAATAACATAAATCACTAAAATAAATAGTAAATGCTGGAAATGTGAGATGATGTTGTAAACTGGTCTAATCTTTCGTTAAGGTAATTTGGTGCCCAAGCCTGCTTGTCATGGGATCTTTGGGTCTGAAAATACATTCTCTCTTCAGGGTGTGATGTTATAAGCCAAAAATAAAAACTCTGATCTGGATCCAGAAGTGATAGTGATGGACGAAATTTGCTGAGAGAAAATAAATGTCCAAGCAACACAAGCTTTCAAACAAAACCACAAAGTCCATAAATCAATGCCATCATAAATGTTAAAAAAAAAAAACAACCCACAAAGGTTTTGTCAGGGAGTAGAGATTCACACCTGAGGAAATGGAGATAAAAGAGCATTTGAAAAGGACTCTAAAATAAATACAATTAAGATATCCAAGAGATAAAAAGGACTCATATTCATGAAACAAAGCAGGTGGATATAAAAAGATATGCAGACATAAAAAAGAACTTATCAAAACTCTAGGCAGCAAGAAATAGTCATCAAATTGAAAACTCAAAAGAGGAAGTTAATACTAAGTTGGAAGCTAAGAGAAAAGTGGTAATTTAAAGAATTAAAACCTTTCAAAACTAAGTTCATAGAAATAAAAAGAAAATGCAAAGAAAGCTATGAAAAACATCATAAATGAAGAAACACTAATCTACATCTAAGAGGAAGGAGGATAAAATTTTTTTTTTCTAAGATTTTATTTATTTATTTGAGAGAGAGAATGAGATAGAGAGAGCATGAGAGGGGGGAGGGTCAGAGGGAGAAGCAGACTCCCTGCTGAGCAGGGAGCCCGATGCGGGACTCGATCCCGGGACTCCAGGATCATGACCTGAGCCGAAGGCAGTCGCTTAACCAACTGAGCCACCCAGGCGCCCAGGAGGATAAAATTTTTAAAAACATTAACATCTAATACTTTTCAGAAATTCAGGTTAGACATGAATTCTACAATTGAAAAATCCCAAGTGTTAACAGAATAAATTTGAACCATCCACTCTTACATTGTAAAGAAACAGCAGAATATCAAGGATAAAGAGAAAATCTAAAAAAATCAATAGAACATACTAATTACTTACAAAAGAATAACCAACAGATTGACAAATTAGGAGAAAATGAACTACTATCTCCACTGTTGAAGGAAAATAACTAAGAACCTGGCATACCATATCTGGTTTAACCATTACCAGATGTTAACATCTATTACCCACAATCCCCTTCTGAAAGTACTAAAATATGTACCTGAGAAGAAAAAAATAAACCAGCTGGGCAATAATAATCCTAATAACATTAATAACCTAATTTAAGATGGAGTTGGGAAGCCAGAAGGGGGAGCTCTCAGGCTGTACCACTCCTCACAGCCCTTTGTGGACCCAACAGGAAGAGATGTACCTTGCATTTTCCAACAGGAAGAAGCCTACTCTACTTACCCTAGGAGGGGGGAGGAAGATTTTCTCCTTGCCCAGCAACAGCCCAGCCAATGAGAGAGTCACAACTCAGCCAATGAAGAGCCACTACCACTCTGGACTCCCAGTTTACTTCAATGGACTTTTTGTTGATAACGGCCCCTCCCAATTTCCCCCTTTTCTCTATAAATGAGCGTTCCTCTCCTTTGTACTCTGCATTCCCACATAGTTTTGCTGTAGCTTGCCTGTCCTGAACTGTAATTCTCTACTATTCCCATATAAACCCATTTGCTGGTAAAATAACTGCCTGTTTTATTTTCAAGGTTGACTATATATATATGCCAACATGTGCTGATGTATTAAGTCAAATGAATGACAACAATGCTAGGGACAAGAGGTAGGGATTAGGAATATTTTGTCATCATACTTGTACTACCTGTGAAGTGGTACAGTGTTATCTAAAAGTGGACCTGGATTGGTTGTAAATGCATGTTGTAAACCCTAAAGCAACCACTAAAATAAATGAAAAAGAAGTATAACTGATATGCTAAGAAAGGAAAGAAAACGGAATCATATAAAATGCTTAATTACAACTACAGATGGCAAAGAGTGGAAGATAAAAATAGGAACAAAAAACAAGGGAATGAATAGAAAACAGTAATACATATGGTCAATATTAATCCAACTCCACCAATAGTCACTTTAAATGGCAATGGTCTAAATACACCAATCAAAGAGGTTGTCAGAGTGAACAAAAACAAGACCCAACTAGATGTTGTCTACAGGAAACCCACTTTAAGTATAAAGACAGAAATTAAGAGAATGGAGAGAGATAACACCATGCTAACACTAATCAAAGAAAGCTGAAGTAGCTACATTAATTTCAGACAAAGTGGACTTCAGAACAAGGAAAATTATGAAGGATAGAGGCATTACATAATGATAAAAGAATCAATTCTGCAAGACCTAGCAGTCCTTAAGGTGGATGTGCCTAACAAGAGAGCATCACACTATGGGAGGCAAAAATGAATAGAACTGCAAGGAGAAACAGATGAGTCCACAATGATAGTTGGAGACTTGAACACTCCATTATCAGAAATGAACAGAGCAAGCAGGCAGGAAATCATAAGGGTATAGCTGAGTTCAACACTACCATCAATCTACTGGATGTAACTGAGATCTATAGCCTACTTCACTCAACAGCACAATACATCTTCTCAAACTCACATAGAACATATACCTAAACAGAATGCACTCTGAACCATAAAACAATATAGGCCATAAAAACACATGAAAATTTTAAAAATAGAAACTATACAATGTATACTTTCAGACCATAATGGAATTAAACTAACTCAGAAACAAAAAGATAGCTGGAAAAATCCCCAAATACTGAGAGATTAAACAAGACACTTCTAAATAACACTTGGATCAAGAAGAAATCTTGAGAAACTTAAAAATAGTTTAAACTAAATGAAAATTATGACATAGCTTATCAAAATTGTGGGATATAGTAAAAACAGTATTTGGAAGGCAATTTATAGCATTAAATGTATATATAAGAAAAGAAGATAGATCTCAAGTCAATAATTGGTGAGAGCTTTCCTCCTAGCTTGGAAACGGCTGCCTTCTCGTGTATTCTTACATGGAGGAGAGGGAGCGCTCTCCTCTATGTCTCTTTCTCTTCTTACAAGGGCTCTTATGACCTCATTTAACCTAATTACCTCTTAAAGACTCTATCTCTAAATACAGTCATACTGGGGGTGTTAGGGCCAGGGCACACAACTCAGTCCACAGCATGATTTTCTCTGAAAAGGATCAATAAAAACAACACGTCTCTAGCCAAGCTAACAAAGAAAAACACAGATGACACAAATTACAAATATCAGAAATGAAAGAATACACATCACTACAGGTCCTATGGACATTAATCGACAAATAAGAAATACCATGAACAAACTCTACGTTCACAAATTTGGTAACCTAGATGAACTGGATCAATTCCTCGAAAGCCACAGTCTGCCAAAACTCACACAACTCAGTCCTCAAACTGGTAGGTGGAGCAGAGAAGAGGGCATCTGATCTGTGCAGGCAGAGGAAGGAACCTTGGTGATGGACAGCAGGACATGGGAGCCCAAGCAGAGTGAGGTGAGCACTTGGGGGGTGGAAGAGGGGAGAGGCTTGGAGCCAAGTAGGGTGAGGAGGGTGCCTTTGCAAGGGTGGGAGTGAGGGACAACCCTACCTGGGAATGCAGAACCCAAGTGGGGGTGGACCTACGTCTAAGTGAAATGAGGAAAGTGTCCACAGGGCGGCTGTGTGTGTGGCAGGGGGATGGTATCAGCCTGAACTAGGTGAGTGATGGAGGCAGGGGAGGTTTGAGTGGTGTGCTGTCAGCGAATGGAGTGGGGGAGCGCATCTGTGCAGAAAGGGTAGTAATGGCCGTGAAGAACTGGTTACTTACACAAGCAAAGAGTGGTTGCCTATCTAGAAAGACTGACCCCATAAGTATCTATAGTAGGAATAAAGGCAGATAGGAACCTTACAGTCACAGAGGGACATGACAAATTTGGGAAGGCAGAAAGCTAGAATAATCCAGCAGCAGCAGGCTCTCAATTCAAGATATTGGTGTCAACTCCTGGTTTCCAGTACAGAGATCACAACAGATATAAAATCTATAGAGATGTAAGTGTATATATGAGCACGGATGCACACACACCCAGTCCCCAGCTCCGTCCACTGAAGGGCCTGGGAGCAACCACCACAACAGAAATGAACACACCCAGCTCCCAGATGTTTCAAAATGCCATTCTCCATTCAAAGGAGCCAGGGGAACTTAGGGAACTGGTTGAACCACTTCAGGGTCTCAGATAGGAATCTATACTGATGTGGATTAATGAGCAAATGAAAAGGAATGATAGCAGCAGCCAACAAAATATTTGCAAGGTGAAGAGTAACTTTCAGTGGAGAAGCCTGGCAGATGCTAATTAATTAAGCGATCAAAGGGATCCTCACCAGTATTGGGACACATCAAAGTTTTATGTCCGCTGGTAAGATGGAATGAGATGAACCCAGTGTCTCTCTTGAGGGATCCCTGCCACAGGTGTGTAAGCTCAATCTCATACAATTGAAACATTCTACTAAGCAGCCAGTCTATAGTCTTTCCAAGTGTCAAGGTCATAAAAGTCAAGGGAAAACTGAGGAACCATTCCAGACTGAAGGAGGAGAGAGAGGCTCGACGGCAGAACACAAGGGATGCTGAGTCGCACCCGCCTGCCATAAAGGAGTCACAGGGAAGAGTGGCTGAACCTGAGGTTTAGGTGATCGCAATGTGTCAATGTCAGTTTTCTGACTTGTATGGCTGTATTGTGAATATTTTTGAGAATATCCTTGTTGCTGGGAAAAACACACTCAAGTATCGGGGAGAGATCCAGTCAGCAACTTATCCTCACATGCTTTAGAAAGAGTTCTCTGCAAAATTCTCCAATGCTTCTGTAAGTCTGTGATTATCCTAAAATAAAAATCTCATTTCGAAAATGGATGTAAGCCCTGTGAAGGCAGACTTGTTTCCTTCCCTGCTGAGCCCCTAGAGCAGTCCTGACACGCACAGGCACTTCCAGAATAGCCGATGAATACATACACATGGCTCAGGGGTGTGTGAGCTAGTCTGTCAGAGAAGTCAAGACAGGGGGTGCGTGGGTGGCTCAGTCGGTTGAGCATCTGCCTTTGGCTCAGGTCATGATCCCAAGGTCCTGGGATGGAGTCCTGCATGGGGCTCCCTGCTTCTCCCTCTGCCCTGCCCCACCCCCACTCATGCACACACTCTCTCTCTCTCTCTCTCTCTCTCTCAAATGAATAAATAAAATCTTTAAAAAAAAAAAAGAAGAAGTCAAGACAGGTCTAGAACTAAGCGATAAGCCTAGAAATGGTAAATTAATTGTAAGGGTTTCAAAATCTGGAGACAACCACCAAAGTAAAAAGGTAAGGGGAACGATAAAGGTTTGTTTACCTCTCGGGAACAGCCTCAGCTAAGGAGAGGCTAGAAAGATTACTTCTCATCACTTTTCACTCCTTCTGTCCTATTTGATTGTTTAACCAAGTATTAACAAAGTACTATGCTTTGATTTAAAAAATGTAAGACAATTTCAAGTACCAAAAAATAATTAAAATACAGTTGAAATACCTTCTTACCATGGTTACAAGGAAATCTTTGCTTGGGTAAGTAACACCTAATAATTTTGTTTTCCCATGACAATCAGTTACATCTCACATCGGCTTTCCTTTCTTTTTTTTTTTTTTTAGATTTTATTTATTTTTTTTGACAGAGAGAGACATAGCGAGAGCAGGAACACAAGCAGGGGGAGCGGGAGAGGGAGAAGCAGGCTTCCCGCCGAGCAGGGAGCCCGACGTGGGGCTCGATCCCAGGACCCTGGGATCATGACCTGAGCCGAAGGCAGACGCTTAACGACTGAGCCACCCAGGCGCCCCCGGCTTTCCTTTCTTTTACCATCAACCTTTTCCTTTTCAAAGACATACACAGTGCTGAGGCACTTGGGTGGCTCAGTCGGTAAGCGGCTGCCTTCGGCTCAGGTCATGATCCTGGGGTCCTGGGATCGAGCCCCACGTCCGGCTCCCTGCTCAGTGGACAGCCTGCTTCTCCCTCTCCCTGCCACTCTGCCTACTTGTGCTCTCTCTCTAGCAAATAAATAAATAAAATCTTTAAAAAAAAAAAAAAGACACACACAGTGCATCCTGACACTGACCACGGTAAGGAAAAGTTGGAAACGGTTACTGTCCAGCAACCTGGGGCCACTTAAAAAAAAAAAACACAAAAATGATGACATATTCATGTGATGGAAAGCTGGGCACTGATTAAACACAACATAAAATGCTTGGTATTTTTCATGCTCCAGTAGAAGTGGGCCCATATTTCTATTCCATGTGTCTTTCTGCCATCAGTAACAGGGGCATGTTTCCGCAGGAACTCTCAGCTGAGATCCCTGCAGGAGGCACGTCAGAACACAGGGTGGGGGCCGCATGTGCCACGTCGGCCACAGGCCATGTCAACTGTGTATGTGAATGGCCCGTTTAATAAAGTCACTGCAATGGGAACAGTGCCTCCCCCCCACCCCCCCGGTCACACAGGAGGAGGGACACTAACATCCCATCTGTCTCACGTCAGAGCTCATGTCCTTAAACTCAAGTGATCCTGGACATATCTGACCTACAAAGAAGTTCATCCATATGTTAACTGAAAAACACTACACAGGGGTATGTATAGAATCCAATTTCTGTGAGAGAAAAATGTTATGCACAACCCTCACACCTGGAAAACTCTGGAAAGCAAGAACTCTCATATTTTAGTAAGTAGCTATTAAAGATGACAGGTTTTTAAAACTTTGATTATCTGTATTCTTCTACAATAAACAACATTATCAAAGTAATTAAACAGAATGCTAACTGTAGGGAGTGACTTCACTGGCGAAAGCTTTAACTTAGTTGAGGATTACAATGTACGTGCATGAAAAACTCGGTGTACACGCGCAGGACAAAGAGGGGAGTGGTACAGGAATTACCACAGAGGGTGACCAAGAATCAAAGAGGCTGGCAGGTTCCACTCTGGTCCAACAATTCCCACCTGTTATGTTCCTTGGAGATACAGAGTTAAAGACTGGGTATTTCTAACCTCCTAAATGCCTCTTTCTTTTATGTGCCCCCCCAGTTTAAAATAAAAATCACTCACAAATCCATACACATACACTCTGAGAACAAATAATAATCACCAGTGTATGGCTGGGCTGAAATAAATCAGCTCTACACGTAAACAAATGCCTGTTACAGTAAAATCCTCTAAGTAAGGGGGCGCCCGGGGGGCTCAGTTGGTTAAGCATCCAACTCACGATTTCAGCTCAGGTCATGACCTCAGGGTGTGCACAGCACTCTGTGCTCAGTGGGGCGTCTGCTTGGGATTCTCTCCCTCTGCCCCCTGCCCTGGCCGGCTCATGCTCGCTCGCTAATACATACATAAATCTTTAAAAAAAAAAAAGTCCTCTAAGTAAGAACTGCAAGGCCAAATTATCTCTGTCAGCATCTGCATCATAAACTGGTTCCATGAGATTAAGAGAGAGAATTACCACAGCCCTTCCAAACAATGCTTGTAATCTGTAGACCACTGAGAGTGTTTTAAGCTGCCTGTGAAATAAGGCAAGTGAACTTACCCAGATACATAGCAGCTGGCCCAAGGTCACCAACACCACCCTTGGGCCCCGGATGCTGGAGGGACTGAGCCAGAAAAGTTAAACCACGTGAATCTGACAGAAAGAACACAAATCAGGATTACAGAATGAAGTAAAACCCAAATGACAAATGCAAAACTCAGTGGCATACTACTTTTTTGCTGGGAGGTCACGGGAGCCCTAACTCGGGGCAGGAAAGGAGTGTGAACGATTAATTCAAGGAAAACTGAATTGAGAGAGAAACACTTAAAAAATTGTCTCCACTGTCCACGACGGTCTCCTCTCGTATTTCCCTACTAATAAACAGCTCTTCTTAAAAGGGCCTAAAGTGGTAAACATTTGACCTTGTTTTGGTAACAACTTTAAATTATAAACTTATGGACTTCTGAATATGTAACTCCATGTTAATAAGAAATTGAGAAGTTTTTTCCTGGTCTCATAAAAACAAACTACAGCAGCTCAGGACTTCAAAACCTGTCACAAACTCACCAGGATTAAAATTAAAATATTAGATTTTAATATTTTAATAGTCCAAGTCTCTGCCTCCACATGGGGAAAAGTTTGTACAACTTACATCAGTACAATAAGATTCATATAAATAGGACAGTTTAAAAGAAACATGTATTGGTGAGAATCCACTCACTTTCCATTCCTTGCAGATCTTTTCCTTGCAAAAACATTGGCCAAAGAGTAAGCGCTGGATTGAGTTTACTGGAAAAGGATGCTGACTTTATACTCAATCTTGATTTCTCTACAGAATCAACGTTTTTATTCTCCTTGGGTGATACGTAACGAGCGAAGTTCTTCGCAACCAGATCATCATTAACACAGACCTGTACAATTTTCAACATTCCATGAATAAGACAAACAGAGTCAAGCGACTGTTCAGAAAATATCCCAAACTTAACCCCAAATTTCAATCTTCAGAAAAAATTATTTTATAGAACATAATTTGATAGAAACCAATCTCTTAAGTTCTGCTCTGGTAACAGAGGACTAGATACTTCTGACCAACCCTCCTGGTAAGAAAAACAGTAAGAATCTGTAAAAAAATATAAGAAATATCTTCTTGAGCAAAAGCACCGGGGAGCTAACATGACTTTGCTGGGCAAAGATCTGGGGGGATGACAAGTCAAAGCCCAAATCATAAAAGGAAAAACCTATAAAAATTAAAAATTTAAATTTTAGACTGCATCAAAATTTAAAAATTTCCACTCTTCAAAAGACATTATTAAGAGATGAAGGGCAGGGGGTGCCTGGGAGGTTCAGTCATTAAGCGTCTGCCTTCAGCTCAGGTCATGATCCCAGGGTCCTGGGATCAAGCCCCACATCAGGCTCCCTGCTCAGCAGGAGCCTGCTTCTCCGTCTCCTACTCCCCCTGTTTGTGTTCCCTCTCTCGCTGTGTCTCTGTCAAATAAATAAATAAAATCTTTTTAAAAAAATCTTTTAAAAGAAAAGAGATAAAGGGCAATCCATAGAGAGAGAAAAAAAATATTTTAAATCTTATATCTGGATGGACATGTATATAAAGAACTCTCAAAATGCAATAAAAAGATGACAAACAACCCAATTAAAAAATGGGCAAAATACAATGGAATATTGCTCAGCCATAAAAAGATGAGATTCTTCCATTTGCAACATGAATGGACCTAGAGGGTATTATGCTAAGTGAAATAAGACAGAAAGACAAACACCATATGATTTTACTTACATGTGGAATGTAAAAAAACAAATGAATAAACAAATAGCACAAACAAACCCATAAATACTAAGAACTGATGGAGGCCAGAGTGGGGGGAGTGCGCAAAAAGGGTGAAGGGGAGAGGGAGACACAGGCCTTCAGTATGGAATGAGTAAGTCATGGGAATAAAAGGTTCATCGGGGGCGCCTGGGTGGCTCAGTTGGTTAAGCCACTGCCTTCGGCTCAGGTCATGATCCTGGAGTCCCGGGATCGAGTCCCGCATCGGGCTCCCTGCTCAGCAGGGAGTCTGCTTCTCCCTCTGACCCTCCCCCTTCTCATGCTCTCTCTCTCTCTCATTCTCTCTCTCAAATAAATAAATAAAATCTTTAAAAAAAAAAAAAGGTTCGTCGGGAATAGAGTCAATGGTATTGTAATGGTGTTGTGTGGTGAGCACAGCATAAGGTACAGACTCATCAAATCACTCTACTGTACACCTGAAACATTGTACATCAACTATACTTCAATTTAAAAAATTATCCAGGGGCGCCTGGGTGGCTCAGTCGTTAAGCATTTGCCTTTGGCTCAGGTCATGATCCCAGGGTCCTGGGATCGAGCCCCACGTCGGGCTCCCTGCTCCACAGGAAGCCTGCTTCTCCCTCTCCCACTCCCCCTGCTTGTGTTCCCTCTCTCACTATGTCTCTCTCTGTCAAATAAATAAATAAAATCTTTAAAAAATAAAATAATAATAAAAAAAAGTTATCCAAAAAATGGGCAAAAGATCTGAATGCACACTTCATCAAAGAAGATATACAGATTGCAGATAGCGTATGAAGAGACACTCAACGTTGTAAGTCATTAGAGAAATGCAAAGTTAAGCCACGATGAGATACTTCCACACAACCATCAAAGTAACCATCCAAGCACTGAAGAGGACATGAAGGAACTGAGGCTCTCATCCATTGCTGATGGGATTGTACAATAGTTAACGGCTTTGGAAAACCATTTGGCAGTCTCTTACTACCTATAATCCCATCCAGATATTTGACTCCTAGGCCCTCACCCAAGAGAAATGAATGTATAGGTTCACAGGAAGAAATGTACATGAATATTCATAGCAGCTTTATTTGTAACAGCCCCAAACTGGCAACAACTCAAATGTCCAAAAGACATGAACAGGTAAATCCACTATATAATATCTGGACAAGAGAAGAGTATTTGACAATAAAAGGGATGACGTGGATATATGCTAAAATAATTTTGTTGCGTGAAAGAGCCAGGCCAAAAAGAGAAAACCCTGGCATATCCTTGTGCTTCCTTAGGGAGCTGGAAAAGGATGCCAGGCCCTGTTTTTCTGGCAATAATGACCTCACACATCTGCTCTAAGTTCTCTCTGCTAAGAAGCTTACCCTCTGCACTCCCCCACCATGAAGTAGGGCCAGAGAGGGAAACAGACCTACTTGAAAAGCAAGAAGCAGGTCAGTAGAAAAGTTTAAAGATGTTTCACCAGACCAGTCCAATAGCAGCATTTTGTTATTTTTACCAAACTAAAATAAGCAATGAAAAGCCACCGGTGAAACTGACAAAGACGTGGGGGAACCCAAAATGCACCACAAAGACTAACAAATGAACCTTACTGTAAATGAATAACATCAACACAATGAAGAGGGAGGAGAAGAAAAGAACTAACCTAAGTAACTTCAGAATACAGTGTTTTGGCTGCATGCTATTTGCCTTTAGACAAACTTCTTTTTTGGGGTGCCTGGGTGGCTCAGTCATTAAGCGTCTGCCTTCAGCTCAGGTCATGATCCCAGGGTCCTGGGATCAAGCCCCTCATCCGGCTCCCTGCTCAGCAGGAAGCTGCTTCTCCCTCTCCCACTCCCCCTGCTTGTGTTCCTTCTTTCGCTTTGTCCCTCTCTGTCAAATAAATAAATAAAATCTTTGGGGGAAAAAAAAAAACTTTCACAGGAATGTGGGTTAGCAATTCTGGAATTACTTTATTTAAATATTAAGATTAATTGAATTAATTATAATGTAGCTAACAAGAGCAGGTTTCTCACTGTTGAAAACACATGTCAAGGAACGGGGAGGGCCACAAAGAACCCTGTGAAGCTGGACTGGAATGAGAGGTACCAGAGCTCTTTTTCTGAGAGAGAGAGGGAGAGAGAGAATCTTAGGCAGGCTCCAAGCCCAGCACACAGCCTGACGTGGGGCTCCATCTCACGGTCCAGACAGATCCACATACAGACAGACAGATCCAGGCATCGATCCGTGTGTGTGTGGAGTAGTGCACAGACGCGTACTTCCTAACTGTCTGCAGGGAGGACCTACAAGCAGCGACACCCCAGCAGCAGGAGCACATCTCGTGCCCCGGTCTTGCTATCTCAATACCACTCTTCTTTGAGAAGTGGTTGATTCTAGAGCTGGGCTGGAGAATGACAAAATTAGCCTAGAGCATCTCGTGGTACCAAAAATAGAAAGTTTCCGGCCATGATGGGGCACACTGAAAGGACACGTAAGCCACTTTGAAGCTGCTGCTAATGGCCAAATCTGGGACAATTTGAACAAGAAAATAATGACAGTAATGTATTCTATCCCCTAGAGTAAAACAAACAGCCAAGAGTCAGCACTAAGATAAATTACTGAACCAATTAATAAATGGGGGAGAAGGGCCAGTTCTTCTCTATAGAATTCCAATTAAAAATGGAGAAGGCCTGGGGCACCTGGGTGGCACAGTCCATTAAGCGTCTGACTCTTGGTTTCCATGATCTCAGAGTCTTGAGGTCGAGCCCCATGTTGGGCTCTGCACTCAGCATGGAGCCTGCTTGAGATTCTCTCCCTCAGCCCTCCCCTGCCCTCTCTCCAAAAAAACCAAAAGACAAAACCAAAAATTTCCATGCTGTGTGAATGACATTCTTTTCCTTGGTGTTTACTCTGTTTTGTTAAAATAAAAAAATAAGAATAAAACATTTTTAAAACACAATTCTTTCACTCACTTTTTCATTTCTTATAGTTGCATAAAGGTAGACCTCAAAAGTATCTTCTTCCACGGCACACAATTTGGCTTCCACCTGGGTGGTTGCTAAATAACATAAATGAAAAAAAAAAAAAATCAGCTGACATTGAAACAATTCCATTCCACCTAGTAATCCGTACTAAGCATCACCTGGAGTCACCATACCGAACGGCGTCCTCCTGGTGGGGGGGGGGGGCGCAAGTGGAGGCCAAGGCTCTCCTGGCCTGGGGTCAGCCGCATACCCTCCATCCCACCCACAGCTGCTGCTCCTGCCCCCTGCGAACATCTCTCCAGCAGACTTGGCCCTCTTTCTTCCAGAGACTCCCAAATCCCCTTCCCACTCAGTCTTTCACCTGAGTCCATTCCACCCTGCAAACACCCCATCAGTCAGAGCTCTCAGCGACTCAGACCCAAGCACCCAAACAGCAGTTCCAGGCACGGGGAGCTTCAGACACCAGGCTCAGTCCTTCACACACTGTTTCACTTCACAGCTGTCGCTGTCATGTACAGGGGAGGAGGCCGGGCTCAGAGAAGGCTGCAGGGAAGCTGTGGAGCAGGATGCAGTCCCAGGTGCTCTGCTTCCTCCACAGCTGTATGTCCCAGCATCCCTCCCCCCTGACATGGGCTCACAAGGGCCCAGACTCCAAAGCCAGAGGCCCTCCCAGCCTCCCATCTCCCCCGCCCAGCATGTGGCTATTCCTCTGGCCAGAGAGCAGGGCAGTGGAGGAGAGGGCCCAGCACCCCAGGCATTTCACACCCGCTTCTCCTCAGAGCAGCCCCGGGGGGCGGCGGGCACAGGGACTTGGCTCCTGCCGGCCAGGGGTCAGGACAGACGGCCATGAGGCTGCACTTTACCGCCAACGATAGAAAATAAAGAGAGCACGCCATACAGCTGCTCTGAGACAGGCTGCACATCTGAAATCGGCAATGATGACGACACTAATCAACATGCACGAGAAAAGTTCAGCTTTCCATCACCTGCTGCTCCGTGAAATGCGCGTACATTTATTTCTGCAGGGCGAAGCTCCCATGCAAACGAAGGGCCCCTCACCCAAAGAGCCCCTTTCTCATTTCAACTCCCAATTACTAACGTCCACACCCACCCCCAAACTTTCAGGGGTGCAGAGTCGCTGTGACATGGGGCGGAAGGAGTCCCAGGTAACAGATGAACCCCTGTGAGGAGGGGCAAACAGCTGAAGGAGCACATCCCAAACCCCCTCGCCAATGGAAAGATAAACCAGCGTGAGTGTCAGTTCAAAGCAGGCTTTAGTGATGATGCACTTGCCTTACCTTTTAGGATGTTCTGGAAGTACTGAATAGCTGCGCTGTCCCACTTCTTGGCAGGCCTGGAACAGTAAACAGATGCAACCTTATCAAATAAAAATCCGAGGCTGGGGAACCAACATCACTTTGTAAGCCATATGCTCAATGTTTCTGACACTACGTGTTGAATGTATGATGCCTGGCCCTGCTTTGGGGGTGACGATCCCAGCCGCACCCAGCAATGGGCTCCTCTCGTCACTGCCGCCGGCATCCAGGGCAGAGACTGAGAACAGGCCCACCCTGGGGCTTCCTGAGCATCCCGTGCCTGCCACGAGGGCATCGTCCTTCCCAGCACCAGCGTCCCCCGGGACCTGGGACCTATCGGTCTTCCCAGCCAGAACACAAGCCCCCCGGGCAGGGATGCTGCGCATGCAGTGTTCAGCACAGGCTGGTATGGAGCGAGGGCTCTGTACAGCCTGGTGAGACCACAGGGCAAGAGAGGCCGGGCAGAGAGCCACTGGCCAGTCGCTCATGGTATCCCCACCCTGCTGACACCTGCCCTCTGTCTCCCATGTTCTATCATCTTGCCCTTCCCTGTGCTCTGGAAAGGAAATTGTAAGAAGAGCTGTGGGCAGTGGAAGATGAAGAGAAACCAGTATTTCGAAGCAAGGAACGAAAATAACTAAGAAAGGGTAGAGTACTATGTTTTATGTTTCTCTGCTGGTTTGATTTCCCAAATCAATGATGGTTTGATGCCACCGTCATCCTCCAAGGGCTGCTTTAAGGATCAAATAAGGTAATGTACATAAAGCACTTAGTCCCACACCTAGGCAAAGGTATTATTTAATTTACTAAAAAAGATATTTAGCACATTACTTCAAGAAAATCACAAAGGGTTACTAAAAGTAAAAAAAAAAAAAATTAAGACAGCGGTTCTAAAACCATTGCTACACACAAAAAATTTACCTAGTAAGTTTAAAAAAAATGAAATATAGATTTCTAATATGAAAATGGCCCAAGAGAAAAATCAATCTAGGCTATTCACAGGTAAACCAATCATTCAGTCCGTGTGTCTGTCTGTCTCTCTCTCAAACACACACATGAATAACCACATGAAGAAACACCCAACTTGTAAAGTTGGAAAAACACAAATTAAAACAAAATACCATTTTCACACAGCAAACAAGCAAAAATGAAAAGCTTAAAGACAGTCAACGTTGTGTGGAAAAGCAACACTCTCTGTACCCCAATGATGCGAGTACACATCGCTAGTCCTCTGGAGGGCCATTTGACAAAATCTATAAACACTGTAACATACATATCGAGACAGACATTCTAGATGAACTGCCCACACAAAGGGACATGCGTCTGCACGGAGGGTGTGCCTACGACTGGGGAAGGTGGTCACGCAGAGGGGGCGAGGATGAGGGGGACTCTGGGGGAGAGCTGGGTGTGGACAGACTGGCAACAGAGTCAGCCCTGGGGGGAGGGTGAGTAGCTGGCTGCTCTGGAAGAGGAACAGGGAAGAGGCAGGGGTTGCTGCTCTGTGGGGGACCCACTTTCCTGGAGTCTCTGAGGTGGTGGTGGTGTTGGGGGGCTGCAGGGACAAGCAGGCTCAGCATCCATTACTGAAGCTTCTGAAGCCGGCCACAGGGCGATGTGCTTACCATCTCCAGGGAACAACAGGTGCTGGGGGGAGCAGGGAGTGGAAATGGAAGGTCTCCGTAGATCCCGCGAAAGCATCCACAAGAGGGGTGCCTTCCAAGTTCCAGGAACAAAATGCAACACCACCACGACATGCAAGTTAAGCCAGACTGTGCTATGCCCACAATGTTTCTTCCCGTAACACCAGTCCTGGGGGTGGGGGTACCGGGAGGGAGGAAGGGAAGGGCTGCCCCAGGACCTCAGGTAGCGCTCGGTCCAGACAGTGGAGAGCGCAGCCATACCCCTGCCACAGCAGTGCCCAGTGCGGGGACCCTGGTGAGTCCTGCACAAACACTGGCAATGTGGCCCAAGACTAGGAAGACGGGGCAAACACGGGGGCGGGGGTGATACATGCATATGGGCATGCACGTCCACATCTCCACACCATGTTTTATTTGGATTTATCCATATTCTTACGGGATTGCGCAGCGCACAGTGGTCTGCAAACAATCTAGCTGGCTCTCAAGAGAGGAACAGTCACATACAGCAAGTAGCCAGTTATGTTCACCCCAGAAAGTCCAATAGTAGGAGGCCGTACATGTACTAGCAAAGAGCTTCAGCACACTCTTGGCTTAAATCTACAAATAAGGCAGTAGGTTCTAATTTTCATGAAAGGCTCCACACAAACGAATGTGTATAAAGTACTGAATGAGGTGTGCAAGTTCAGAGCCTGAACAGGTCCCAGAGGATGGGGGGGGTGGGGGGTGGCAAGGGACTGGAGAAAAATGCAATGGACTTTTTTTTTAATGCTCCATGATCCTGTATTCCCTCCTTTCTCTTCACAGTTAATTTATTACTTTTTGCAAATTAAAAGAAGTTGCAGAGCGCAGAGCTCGGCAACCCCCCCAAGCCCCCTCGACTGCAGCGTCTGGAAGGGGGGCTGCCCCAGGAGCTCCGCTTAGGGCCAGGTGTGACACACATCGACTCAGATGTCTCCTGAAGAACAGAGGCCACTTAGTGCTTCTCAAGGGCAACAGACTCCACATAAACCTCCTACACTCGATTTCAGACTTTGACTCACGCTCAGCACCCGTCACCAGCAGTACTTACACAATCTCAGCGCTGTCTTCACAGAAGTCAATGTGTAATGTAACAGGCTTCGTGCAATACAGCCTGAATTTTTTCGCCCGGTAGGGAAGCTGCATAAAAGTTTCTACTGCAACTCGGATGCTTCACAGTGAAACAGAAACAGTTCCGTTACAAAGAAAACTTACATAGAAAACTTACATTCTTTCTGTTTCTAATACAGCCACCAGCAACAGGGAGGGAGAGCGGGCTGACCTCTGCCCAAGTGCGGAGAAGGGAGAAGAATCTTATTCTTATGTATAAAAGCATAAAATATACGAAGAGTACATGCATGGATATTCAGAGTATCTTTGGCATTAAAACTTCATGGTGTGGGGGTGGTAAGTATTAGAAAAATCACGTCTAACAAGGCTCCTCAGACTAAGAAACATTAGGAAATGAACAATCCTGTGAAGTCAGTTCTACTTAAGATTTTTAAATTTCAAATTTTAATACACAACCCGAATTTCAGTTTCTGTCATGTTTTTGAGCAGATATTTTTATAGTTAATATTTATTAATTCTGCACAAAAAGAGGGGCTGAAATGTCCACAATAGCCAAACTGTGGAAAGAGCCAAGATGTCCATCGACAGATGAGTGGATAAAGAAGATGTGGTATGTATACACACACACACAATGGAATATTATGCAGCCATCAAAAGGAATGAAATCTTGCCATTTGCAACGACGTGGATGGAACTGGAGGGTATTATGTTGAGTGAAATAAGTCAAACAGAGAAAGACATGTATCATATGACCTCACTGATATGAGGAATTCTTAATCGCAGGAAACAAACTGAGGGTTGCTGGAGTGGTGGGGGTGGGAAGGATGGGGTGGCTAGGTGATAGACATTGGGGAGGGTATGTGCTATGGTGAGCGCTGTGAATTGTGCAAGACTGTTGAATCACAGATCTGCTCCTCTGAAACAAATAATGCAATAGATGTTAAGAAAAAAAAAAAAAGAAGAAGATAGCAGGAGGGGAAGAATGAAGGGGGGGAAATCGGAGGGGTAGACGAATCATGAGAGACGATGGACTCTGAAAAACAAACTGAGGGTTCTAGAGGGAAGGGGGGTGGGAGGATGGGCTAGTCTGGTGATGGGTATTAAAGAGGGCACGTTCTGCATGGAGCACTGGGTGTTATACGCAATGAATCATGGAACACTACATCAAAAACTAATGATGTAATGTATGGTGATTAACATAACATAATAATAAAAAAGAAAGGGGGCTGAGATTTGATAAATCTGCTGCTCAGCACTTTTATTTCCATTCTTCAGGCCAATGAGAGACTGCCTAGGCGTACCATTCCGGGACAGGATTTCTGGATGCCCTGTATGGGCAGCCTCACCACCTCGTCCCCACAGCTCAGAAAAAGGTGCCCCTCGAAGCCTCCCTGCACAATATTTAATCACGGGCTTCTCTTGCCCAAAACTCCAAATACTAAAAATCTTTCCAAACAATTAAATATAACATTTACTTTGATAACAATTCTGGTTATAAAGGTGCAGAATCACAGGCTAGAAAGGCATCTACTTTTTTTCTTAAGTATCTGCGAATTCCCAATGTCTGAGAAGCCCTTCTGCCATGAAATGCTTTACTCTTATTGCAAGAATACTCTTTTGGAAGAAGAGTCCTCACATTAATTATTAAACTGATATCCTCTTACTCTGGGATGGGCAACTATGAAAAATTACCACAAACACAAAAGCTGACGTGTTGCTAGTGTTTTCTAATGAGCGGTTAATGGGTGCTCCTGGAGCCAATGAGGGCTGCTTCGGAACTGTCTCCCCACCTTAAGTCACTGTGGGTCACACCCTCACTCTGCTAAGGAAAAGGACCCAGAGTACTTGAACAGGGGCTCTGCTCCCCGCTACCTGAGGCTGTACCAGCACACACCCCTTCTGTGGGGACCACATGACCTTCGGCTTCCAGGTAGTGTCTTTCCTGCAGCCCAGCCTCTGGAAGGACCCATCACAGGAACACGCTGAGAGTGGGAGGCCGGGTGAGCACCTGCCCCTTGGAAGGAAGGTGGAAGGAGGGCCCAGCTGCCCCGGGTCCTCACTGGGACCACCAGCCCCTACACTGACTGCGTGTAGAACTGGAATCTGCAAGTCGTCCCCATGGGAAGCGAAGAACACTCCAGTTCTCTGACCTCTATCCTGTGAAAACTGACCCTCTCCTTTAAAACTGATATCCGTCTCCCTAAAGAGCGTGAGGCGAAATAAATATGTACGTACTTTTTAGATTTCACTGGGATGTACTTGGCAAAATCCACAAGGAAACATTCTGCCAGGTAATGGTCTGCCGAAGACACAATGGACTTAATAACAGCCCTGCACCAGCACTTCAGTTCCTGACAATACACCACACAGACCTACAAAATAAAAACCTCGGCATTAAAACCCTCAGTCGCAGGAGAGAACGAAAAGGCACCCCCAAACCATCTCAGCCCACATTCTACCTGCCGGAAGAGGAAAGGTGGGGGAGGAGGCTGGGGCTGCCCACGCTGACCCCACTGGACAGTAAACTGAGCACAGGGCACCCATCCTACTTCAGGCTTCTCTTACTCCACTCATGCTGACTCCTTAACTAAGGACAGGGTTTTGAAAGTAAAATAAGGAAAATGCAGCCCCACCTTAGGGAAACTGCCCAGCAGGAGTGACAGCTGCCTGGCGTCCCGACTGTCCCACGGGACTGCGACCCAGACCAGCAAACCACACGCCGACCACAGGCCCCGAGGGGAGAGCACCGCACCTGACGGGGAAGGGGTGAGCCGAAGGGAGACCACCGCGCTCAGGAACTGAAGCTGGACGCCATGGAGCAGCCACTTGGCAAGGGATGGGCTCTTGGGAGCCTCCCATAACTCCAAAGTCAAATAACTGGAGAGAAATCTTGCCAAAGGACAGAGGGTATTTCTGTTTAATGCTCAAGTCAAAGCAACTTGTAGGAATGGTGTAAACAGGTAATTGTTCACGAGGCCAAGCTGGTTTTGAACTGGTGGCTTACAAGGCTTCCACCAAGCCAACGTAGGGCAATTTAAGCACCAAGAACAATGATTACAGCTGATGGACTATATTAAAAACCATGAGGTTCAATACAGCACTTTAAAAATGAAAAGGAGGAGAGAAAAACAGCAGAGACCTCTGGACGTCTGTGTACACAGCTGGGCACGAACGCTGGTAAGGGAAAGAATCAAGCAACGCGTCTACCTTTCCAGCATGAACTGTAGGATATCAGGGTAGCCTAATCATCTTAATAGAGGAAGGAAAGTTCCCTGCAGACGAATTCCGGCTCAAGAACACAGAAGGAACGTGAAAGCGACCATTTTGGAAGCTTAAACAGAAGGGCTGCTTCGGGCTGTGCTGGTCACGGGATGGTGCCTCCTCTGCAGGAAAAGCTGACGGGCACCACCTTGAGGGAGGACTCAGGTGTCGCCCTCCGAATCCGCTGGGCTTTGCCAACAGTGATATTACCTCCCAATCCAATGCAAGGTGAAGCTCACAGCCCAATCACTCTGAGGGGGGGAAAAAGGTGACCCTAAATCTAATCAAAGCTTTAACTACCAGTCCACATAAAATAGAGGGGACAGAGAGAAAGTTCAGCACCACCACAAGGAGGCACTCAGGCTCTCCAAAATGTGGAATATTTTAAAAGGACAGCTCACCGGGTTTCCTGTCAACAAGTCAATGGTATGGAAAAAGATAATAAATGTTATTAATGAAGTTTTTTTTTTGAAAGGGGGAAGGAATTCAAGTTATTTCTAATGTTTCTCATAGTTTATAAACCTTTCCCAGTAGAAAAATTCAAACTCTTCTGAAAAGTGACTGACCTGCAGAGAGAATCAGACAATGGTCCCGGGAGCCAAGGTGGCAATAAAGGAAGAAGGGGCCGTGATGTGAGGCAAGGAAAATAAACAAGCAGGAGTTGGCCAAAGTCACGGGCAGCAAAAGGGAGGCCCCCATGCCCCCTCGGCTGAGGCCCCCACACCTGTGACAGATCTAGAATACATCTAGAATAGCCCTCAGTTCCCAGCCCCAGGAGGATGGCCCGATGCCTGAATTTGGACGACATTCCATCTGCTGCTGCCCCACATGAATCTTCTACCACCTTTGCTTTCCAAAACCAGCCCAAATCTCGTGCAGCCAAAAGAACGTAACACAAAGCAATGATTATGTGCAATGAAAATACTCTAAAAGTTTTACTGCCAAAATGTGTACATTTTAAGTAGTATTTCAAGACACAGTGCTTACAGCACACTTAGATACATACCTGCCCTTCTTCCAACATTAACGGTTTTATTTCTGTATCTTGACACATGCTATTATAGAAGTCATTCATGGCACTATTTAGTTTTTGGTAATCAACTTCATGATCTAAAAACGGACTACATCCTTTTATCATAACCCAGAAGCATCCTGGATCTTCAATCTGTAAAAATTAAAAAAAAACAAAACAATGCATGGTTTAAAAAGCAGAATCATAAAATAATAAACCTTAGAGGCATGATACCTGTTACTAATTTAAGCGGTCTAACAAATTCTAGAGGAGTACCTCTGTCTTAAAAAATCAGACCAAAGGTAAAAAATAAAAGACTGTCAATATAGATCAAATCATCACCCTTTACACCTTAAACTTATATGTTAGATACCAATTATATCTCAATTAAGCTAGATAAAAGATAAAAGATGCAAAGATAAAACTCTAAAACATGTTAAAAATTTTAAAAAATATAACCAATAACATCAGTAATTTTTAATTATGTGCTGTGACTCGAAAGGCAGAGATCAATGCCCTCCATCTCCTCTACTTTAATTTTAATTTTTTAAAAAGATTTTCTTTATTTGAGATAGTGTGCGAGAGAACACAAGCAGGGGGAGGGAGAAGCAGACTCCCCACTGGGCAGGAAGCCCAACGTGGGGCTTGATCCCAGAACCCCGAGATCATGACCTGAGCCGAAGGTAGACGTTTAACCAACTGAATCACCCAGGTGCCCCATCTCCCGCATTTTTTAAATATGCATAATAAAATACAAAAGCAAAGTCCCATGTTTGCGATATGCTATGTCTTTTGTAAAAAAGAGAAGGAAATATGAATGAATGTATAGTCTGTTCATATTAAAAAAAAATGATGGCAGATAAACCAAAACAAATATAAGTTATCACCTATAGAAAGCCAGGAATAGAAGGGACAGGGATGAAAGTCAGACTTCTCTGAATGTATCTTGATATAGATCAGTGTCATTAGAGACCAAGATTTTCATCATTAGAGAGATTAGATGCAACATAAAAAGTTAAATTTGAGTTGAAAATATCAGTAGGAACTCCTAACTCTGCCTACTGAAAGGACCTAAAAGCAATGACATCCCAAGACTTTGGATCCAAGGTACCAGGTGGCAGGGGAACAGGTGTTCACGTTAGTATTCTATTTTTCTAAATATTTGAATATTTTTAAAATAAAAAGTTGGGGAAAAAAAGAACAATGGGCCATTCTGGTTCCAGATCATGGCAGAGTCATTTACATGGACTAACCCACCTGCAAGTAACAATGATCAACCCAGGAAAAAATACAAAGTAACAAATATGAAGGACTGAAGAGAAGAGAAACCGCAGGGACCAGATGCTTTGCAAGGAGGATGGGTCTTGGGTGAGATCCACGTTTCCTTACAGCTTTTCCAGCCCAGGACGACGGGCTGCAACTCAGGCAGAAAGCCGCAGCGTTGTGGCTTGAGGAACCAGAGAAGGGACGCTGAGGAGAGAAATTCTGAAAGAGCCGCCACGGGGAGAGCCAGGTCCTTGGCCAGCCCGCACGGCGCAGTGAGGGCCCAGCCGTCCAGAGGAAAGCGACCTCGAGAAGGTGGACAGAAACACCAGTTTTAGCTGCTGCCTGACAGAACAGCAAACTCGTGGCATGTCACCTCCCAAAACCTCTGCACCGAGAGGCCCCGTCCCGAGGACGGCCCTGGCCCCTCTCAAATGCGTGCCTGGGGAAGCTCAAGGCTGCCAGGGGAACCCACCGTCTGCAGACAGAGACCCTCAACCTCCCTTTCTGTGAGCATTTCCTCAAAAGGGCTGACAGGCGCCAATCCTCCCTATCCCTTTGAGATGTGTCTGTTTCTCCCGCTGCTCAGGAGTACGTCTCGAGGGCCTGAAAGCTGAGACTGCCTCCTGGAACCCGCTTCCTCGGCCAACAGGCACTGACCGGTCCTTGGTGACCCTCATATCCCTGGAGCCCCTCCCCTCCTCTTCCTCGGTCTTCCCTCAAAATGCTCGGCCCCCTCTGCCCTTCCCCAGCTCCTGCCCCTACTCCCAGGCAGCTAATGCTCTAGCCATGTCTGCCTTTGTTTGTCCTTGGCACCCATCACTGGGAAACAGTCTGCAGTGGGAGCCCGGCCAAATTTACGAGGCTCAGTAGGCACCCTGATGTGCCACGCCTGCAAACTCCAGACCGCACTCCTGGACAGAGTGTGCTCTAGCAAAAGCAAACAGGGGCTTGAAGAGGATAAACCAAGCCTCCCAGATGGTGGATGCAGCGAGTGACCGAAGCGTAGGTCAACACTCTTTACCGCAGCTGCAATATCCGTGTGGCAGTTACTAGCCATGCAGAGATGAAAATGTGATGTGTGGCCAAGGACAAAAGCAGTCAGTAGAAGTGAACTCAAGACCGCCCAGAAGTTGACATGAAAGGCAAGGACGTCAAAGCAGCTGTGAGAAATATGCTGAACAACTTAAGGACAAGATGGTTGTGGTGAGGTCGTGTGTTTACTAAAGAGGAGGGTCTCACCTAAGAAATGGAAACTCTAAAACAAAAACAACAAACAAACTTTGGAAAAGATAATTCCTGAACTAAAAAGTAAAACATACCAAAAAAAATGTTACTAGTGGCGTGCTCACTACTCCTATTCAACATTGTACTGGAGGCACTAGTCAGTGTAACAAAGTAAGAAGAAGGATGTCAGCAAGACTGGAAATGAAGAAAGAAAATGTCTCTATTTACAAACAGTATCTCCATAGAAAATCCTAAGGAACCTACAAAAAATATATTAGAACCAGTAAGTGGCTCTAACAAGGTTCCAGGGTATAAAGGCATATAGTACATTCAATTGAATGTACATCTATAGTCCAGCAATGAAAACTGGAAATTTAAATTAAAAAAAAGCACCATTTTCAACTGTGCCAAAAAACAGGATTACTCAGGAATGAACCTAACAAAATATATGCAAAATGTGTGTGTTGAAAGGAACACAAACTGATCAAATAGATCAAGGAAGGCCTTTAATGCCAGTATACTGGGTTCATGGATTAAGATGTTGATTTTTCCCACAATGATCTATAAATACAACTCAGTTCCAGCAGGAATTGAGAAATCAATGAACTCCCTATGAAATTCTTATTGGAAAGGCAAAGGAACTAGAATGGCCCAAGTAACTCTGGAAAAGAACAACATAGTTGGAAGACTCATACCACCTGATTTCGAGACTTACTAAAAAGCTACAGTAATTGGAATTGTGTACTACTGGAGAAAGCACAGACAAAAACCAACAGAACAGAAACAGACCCACACATATGCAGTCAATTGAGTCTCAATAAAGGCACAAAAGCAACTGGGTGGAGAAAGAGTAATTTTTAACAAATGATACTAGAACAATTAGTTATCTGTATGCACAAAAGTTAACTTTGATCCATCCTTTATTCCAGATACAAAAATTAACTCCAATGGATCCTATATCTAAATGTAAAATATAAAACTATAAAATTTCTAAAAATACATGGGGGAAATCTTTGTGACTGTGGGTTAGGCAAAGATTTTAGATATAACACCAAAAGTATACTTTGTACAAGCAAAAATTGATAAATTGGACTTAATCCAAATTAAGAACTGCTCGTTGAAAGACGTTAAGAGAAAGAAAAGTCATAAACTGGGAGAAAATATTTGCAATCACATCCAACAAGGAACTTCATCCACAATATATAAAGTGTAAAAACTCAGTAACAGAATGACCAACTAGAGAAATGGACAGATCCAAACAGACACTTGACCAAAAGAGTGGAAGGATGGCAAACAAGCACACGGAAAGATAATTAACATATCATTCGCCATTAGAAAATGCATATTAAAACCACAACGAGACACTACTACACACTAAACATTACCAGAATGGCTGAAATCTAAAAAACTGACATCACGTGCTCGTGAGGATGCAGAGCAACTAGATATTTTTTTTTTTAAAGATTTTATTTTTAAGTAATTTCTACACCCAACATAGGGCTCAAATTCACAATCCCAAGGTCAAGAACCCCGATTATAGGCGCCCTGCAGCTAGAACTCTTACACATTGCTGATGGGAACCCGTAATTGTACCGTCACCGTGGAAGATTTTCTCATGAAGTTAGACAGGTAATCCAAGCCTAGTTATTTATCCATGAAATGGAACTTGTGTTCACACAAAAACCTGTCTGTAGAGGTTACAGCAGCTTTATTTATAATCTCCCCAAACTGGAAACAACTCAAAGGGCCTCCAGCTGGTGACAGTACAAACAAATCTGCATATTCATACAATGGACAACAACTCAGCAGTAAAAAGGAAGACATCGTGATTCACGCAACGACCTCGGGGCAGGCAGGTCTCAAATGCATACACTAAGTCAGGGAAGCCAGATGCAGAGACTCCGTCCTACTGCGTGATTCTGTGCGCACATTTCCATTTTTACGACATCCTGGAAAAGGCAAAGCTAACAGGGAAGATAAAGATCAGTGGTTGCAGGGGATTTGGAGAGGGGCAAAGAAGGGACTACAAAGGAGTATAAGGTAATGGAGGGATGACAGACTGCTCTCTGATTGTGGTGGTTATAGGACTGCATCCATTTTTCAAAATGTCACAGAATTCTACATGAAAAATGATGAAGTTTACCATATATAAATCATATCTCAATTTAAAAAATAGTTTATGGGTTAAAAAAAAAGAGGGGCGCCTGGGTGGCTCAGACAGTTAAGCGTCTGACTCTTGGTTTTGGCTCAGGTCATAATCACAGGGTTGTGAGATCGAGGCCTGCTCTAGGCTCTGCGCTCAGTGGGGAGTCTGCTCGATATTCTCTACTTCTGCCCCTTCCCCCACCTGCATTCACGCACACACACACTCTCTAAATAAAATCTTAAAAAAAAAAAAAGATGTGAAGCAAACATGGCAAAATGTTAAAAGGTTTGACAAAGCTAAGTGGTGGATGTCCAGGTGTTTATGATTATATTTTTTAGACTTCTTGGTATGTCCAGAATATTTCCTGATAAAAAGTTAGATTTTAAATTATTTTTAATCACAGGAATGATTTTAAAAGCTTCTTGTCCTCTGATGTGATATTGCCCATGCAGTATTTTTACTAAAAATGCCTAACTGAACATAATCATGAAGAAACAGACAAATCCGAAATGACTGATATTTTGCAAAGCAACTGCCCTTGTTCTTCAAAATTTCAATGACATCAAAGACACAAAAAAGCCAGGGAACTAACCTAAATTAAAGGAGACTAAGAGGCCATGACAACTAAATGCAATGTACAATTTTTGATTGGATCCTGGAGCAGAAAAAACAAGTTTTAGAAGACATTTTGGGACAAATGGAGAAATTTGAACAGAAACTATGTATTATGGTACTGGATCAATGTTAAATTTCTCAAGTGGGGTAATTACATCATGATGATGTAAGAGAAAGTCTTGGTTCTTAGGAAATACATGTGTAAGGAGTTAGAGTTCTCAACTCATTCTCAAATGGTTCAGCAAAAAAGCAAATAATTTTATATATACTATTTATAAAGAAATATGCAGGTCAACAAAATGTTAATAATTAGGGTGTAGAGAATATGGTTATTCTCAATAGGGTTTTTGTAAATTGTTTTTATATTTGAAAGACTTCAAAACAAAGTTGGAAAGATGCTTAAAATTTTTTTAAGGCAGGGGCACCTGGGTGGCTCAGTCGTTCAACGCCTTCGGCTCAGGTCATGATCCCAGGGTCCTGGGACCGAGCCCCACATTGGGCTCCCTGCTCAGCCAGGAGGCCTGCTTCTCCCTCTCCCGCTTCCCTGCTTGTGTTCCCTCTCTCTGGCTCTCTGTGTCAAATAAATAAATAAAACCTTTACAAAAAAAAAATTTTTTTTTTAAGGCATCATAGATTCTTTGAAGTTGCCAGAATATTTCATTTTTTAAAAAAATATTGCCTCTAGGGGCGCCTGGGTGGCTCAGTCATTAAGCATCTGCCTTCAGCTCAGGCCGTGATCCCAGGGTTCTGGGATCGAGCCCCACATCGGGCTCCCTGCACCGCCGGGAAGACTGCTTCTCCCTCTCCTACTCCCTCCGCTTGTGTTCCCTCTCTCGCTATGTCTCTCTCCGTCAAATAAATAAATAAAATCTTAAAAAAAATAAAAAGAAAAAAATAAAAAATATTGCCTCTAAAACCTCTAAACTGTAGGCCAGATTCAGTTTTACCAGCTAGGAGAACACGTGCTTTACTGGAAGGGAGTGGGTGCACTAGGATAGGGAGCCCCCACCTCTGACACTGTCTGCTTCCAGCCAAGACTATAAAGCAATACTGCCCACATTGTAATCACCCTCACACATTTTTTCGCCTACATTGTCTGTTGTATTTCCATTAGAAAAATATCATCTATATAAAATTTTGGTCCGGGGCGCCTGGGGTGGCTCAGTCGTTAAGCATCTGCCTTCGGCTCAGGTCATGGTCCCAGGGTCCTGGGATCGAGCCCCACGTAGGGCTCCCTGCTCCACAGGAAGCCTGCTTCTCCCTCTGCCACTCCCCCTGCTTGTGTTCCCTCTCTCGCTGTGTCTCGCTCCGTTGAATAAATAAAATCTTTAAAAAATAAATTAATTAATTAAATAAAAGTTTGGTCCACTTTCTTCTCCTTTACCCCTACCATTCAAACTTGAATACTTAAATTTTATTCAAATAAAAGCAGAATCATTTATCTGGCAAGATAACAATATTTCGCATCATTACTAGGATTTAATTGAATTAGGTGTGCTTTTTATTATTTCTCAGGAATGATTAACCCATTTTTTCTTTGTTATTTCCTACGTTGTTATTCCCCTTTACTTTTTTACTTCCCTGAGCAATAATGTCATGAGTGTCTCATTTTCCACATTCGGTAGTATGAGTGTGTCCAAGTCTGATCTTTAATTTCTGTTCAATTCCCCTTCGTGTATGTTGGGTTATTTCCATAATAACTCCAGGTATTTTAGTCAAACTTAAACTCTCCAACATCGATTGTAAAAATTAAGATGTTCATTTTAAAACGCTGTGACAATTCCAAACGGAACAGGAAGACCTGGCCCACTCAGAGTCATGCTGACGTGAGAGGTCCTCGGACCTTCATTCTCAACACGGCCTCCTCTGGGTAGGAAAACCACTCTTGAAATACTGTTTGTGGATTCCACGGACAGTACTGAAATTGTCTGTGTGAGCCAGAGGAATAGCTGCTTTACCCCATTAGTGACATCACAGCCTGCAGCTTTCAGAACATCACCTGTGTCTGCCACCCCTCCCTGGCACAAGCTGTCCACTTGAAGGGTCCACGCCTCGCTGTCCAGAAACGTCAACAGTCCTGCTAGAACACAGCTTGACTCTAAGACCAATGGCCCTGGGGCTTTTCCGGCGCCCATCACCTTTCTTATCAAAGATGCCATGGCTAATCTTTCTCTCCTGTAGCCCTTCTCCGGGAGCAAGTCCATAGACGCCAGTCCCACTGTGTCTCACCGCACTCTGCCCAACTCATCCCTGACGTAATGGCATGTTGTCTGGGCTGCTTTCTTAATACATTATTTTTAATCAACACCTTTTTCTTCATTAGACTCATCTTAACAGACTTCTAATGCTAGTTCTGTTTTTATTTCTAAAATCTATTACAAATATTAACTATTAAAATTTAAAAATAATTTTTAATAATTTTAATTGTGGTAAAATACACAAAAATTTTACCATTTTAACCATATTCAGTGGCATTAACCACATCCATCACCACCATCCATTCCAAAACTCCTTTCAGCTTGCAAAACTGAAACTCTACACCCTTTAAACAATAATCCCCCAAGTCCCCTTCCCCTCAGTCCCTGAGCAAACACCCTACTTTCTGTCTCTATGAATGTAAGTACTCTAGGACTCTCACAGAAGTAAATCATACAATACTTGTCCTTTTGTATCTGGCTTATTTCACTTAACAAGTGATGGTTCATCCATGTTACAACATGTATCAGAATTTTCTTTGCTTCTAAGGCTGAGTAATATTCCATTATATGTATAGACCACACTTTGCTTCTCCATTCATCTACTGATGGGCACTTGGGGGAAAAAAATTTATCCATGTAAAAGCTAAATTAACCTGAAGCACTATAACTGGTAACCTGCACCACACTTAGAGAACTACTCCTATATTGTATTAAAATTTGCTGAGGATAAACAGGTAAGAACCAAAATATAAATTACGTAAGACCTAAAAGAGGAGCGGGAAAATTGATGGTTTTTTAAAATCCCATCATTTGGTACGTTCCTCTCCTCTGCCCACAGAAGCATGGGTTTTTTTTTTTTTTTTTTTTTTTTAATGATTTGTATTTCCTTTTCCCAGAGACCGAAACCCACCGGCTTTGCTCTGGTTTGTAAACTCCTCCCTCCAACTAACCTTGCGAACACGCCATGCCTTCAGTCTCCTGCATCTTACCTGAGACACGAAACTGCAGCTGCCGGCGGCCCCACCTGCCTTCACGCCGCTCCGAGGACTGAGGATCGGAGCCCCGGGGCGCACGCGTGGGGAGGGGGCCGCCAGAGTTTCAGGGCGCGAGCGAGCAGGGTTTCCCGCGTGAAGCCGGGATGGGCGTGTGTGGAGCGGTGGTTGCGACGAGGGGCCCCTTAGTGGGGACCCACTGGAGAGGACCCCTGTCGGGCGAGGGGACCAGGTGAGGGTCCCCATGTCCAAGGACCGGGGGCCCAGGGGGCTCTCCGCCAGCACCTCCCGGGCCGGGTGAGCGTGGGAGAAGGGGTTACGGTCCGTCCTGCCCCCTAAGATTGCAGTTAGTAAATGAGTTTCGGACGAACTGGTAACTTTTTACTGTGTTCCAAAAAATACATGGGCACACCTGAACTGAAATCTCGTGTTGTGGATCTGCAATCGGGGGCCCGGGATCCCATCTGGCGACCCACGCATGGGTCCGAAGCCCCGCGTGGCGTGACCAGCCGGGGCGGCCCCTGCGCGGGGAGAGGGCGGCCGGCCAGGGCGGGGCGCTCGCTCACCTTCAGCACCAGCACCTCGAGCATCTTCCCCGCGCGTCGCTCGCCGCCGGAGGACCGGCGTGGGGAGACAAGCGCCGTCGCGGCCGCGTCCCTTCCCGGGTCTTCCCGTCGCCACTCACTACTCGGAAGGCACTCTGCGGGGGCCCCCGGCGCGCCCGGCTCTGGCCCCGGGCCCCACACGCCCGCCCGCTGCGCACCACCCGCGACCCTCCGCGCCCTCCCAACAGGACGCCGCCAGGGGCGCGCTCGGGGCTCGGGCACCGCGCCCCCGCGCCCGCCCCCGGCCGCGCAACCCCGAGGCTTCCAGAAAGCCCGCGCTGCGCCAACGGCCTGAACAACTGCCGGCCGCCCTGCGCACACGCCGGGCGCGGCGGGGCGGGGCGGGGCGGGGCGGGGGCGCTGGGAGGAGACTCGCAGGGGTCGCACAGCCGGCGGCGCCCGGCGTCACGTGGTTCTCCCCCCCCCCCAGGCGTCTCACCCGTCCCGAATCAGTTCGCGGTTGACGGGCAGAGGTCTCGCCGGACCCGCCCCCACTTGGTGGCCCTAAGGGTGGAGAAGAGGCACAGCCGGTCATTAATACAAGGCTGGGGAGGGGGAGTTGGGGGGGAGGGGGCTCCTGGCAACATCCCCTCCCCACCCACCCACCTCCGCCTCCTGCTTCGGGTCCCAGATTTCCTCCCACCTGGCCGGCAGCCGGCAGGGCTCCCCCAGACTCTGTCACTGGTCATTCTGGTCACCAAACTGCAGCCTCCTGGGCCGGGCTCTTCCCCGCACGTGTATTTGTTGTTGTTGAGGCACCAAAGAGTTCTCTAAATTTTGAACACCTGGACGCCTCAGTTTTTCTCACCTAAAAAATGACACTCACAATTAGATGGGGTCACACTCTGAAATAAAGGATACCCAAGACGCACTCAGGGAGGGTCAGCTTTCATTACTCCAACACTTGAATAAGCCAACAAACAAGAAGAAAAATGAAATCAAAGGAACCACTGGGCGCCTGGGTGGCTCAGTTGGTTAAGCCACTGCCTTCGGCTCAGGTCATGATCCTGGAGTCCCAGGATCAAGTCCCGCGGCGGACTCCCTGTTCAGTGGGGAGTCTGCTTCTCCCTCTGACCCTATCCCCTCTGGGGCACTCTCTCTCTAAAATTAAAACAAACAAACAAAGGAACCACAGCTAAAATAAATAAATGATAAAAATGCCAGGCCTATGTGGTTTTATAGGTGAATTCTTCAATATCTTGACTGAAAAAACAAAGAATTTTAAGCCCATGTCAAAAGGCATTAATTTGCTAGTAAGGGAAACCAAAAGATGGCAAAAACAAATTGCACCAATTTTAAGAGAGCATGGCAATTGTGGGGTTCTGAGAAACAATGCTCACAAAAGCGTCCAGTTTTAAAATTTTGTTAGATTTCACAAGGTCAAGCAACATCATCTGCTTAAAGTCTCAGGCAGGAGAATTGGAGAGGAGAGGTGTGTGGACCTCCATTCAGGAGGAAAACACAACTGCTGAGTACATGAAGTTCACCTGTTGCTGAATAGGACTAAGCAGGCTTCACCTCCAGTGGAGGCACCTGGCAGGACCAACAAACCTGAAAGCTCCAGACCTTGTCAAAGAGGTGTGAAAGGACCGGATCTTTTATATATATATTTATTTATTTTATTATAAATATATTTTTATATATTATATATATAAATAGATATAAATTTATATATATATATTTTAAATATTTCATTTATTTGACAGAGCAGGAGAGAGTGAGAGAAAGCACAAGCAGGGGGAGCAGCAGAGGGGCAGGGAGAAGCAGGGAGCCCAATGCCGGGCTGGAGCCCAGGACCCCAGGATCATGACCTGAGCTGAAGGCAGACACTTAGCTGACTGATCCACCCAAGGGCCCCAGGATCAGATCTTATTTAAACAGGAGGTCCCAGGAACAGTTCCCAAGCCCCAAAGAAAATGCAGATGTCTCCCAGTTCTTATTGTGCGGTGAACATTTCTTTTTCTTTTGACTAGAACCCATGCTACAATATGATGTTTTCCAAACTTTTTCACAACACATCTCACAGAAAATGGAAGTATTTCTCCATCGCGCTTCCTAGTCCCCTTGAGGCTGAAGGGGATCAGTATCTGTACCTGTAACCTGTCTCCCCCCCATACCCCCACTAGCTAGTGGGAAGCCTTGTTTCAGAAATTACTCCACAATAAGTAAGTCATGGGTATGTGATATACAGCATGGTGACTATAGTTAATAATACTGTATTGCATATTTGAAAGTTGCTAAGAGAGTAGATCTTAGAAGTTCTCATCACCAGAAACCAATTTTTTTTAACTATGTATGGGGACAGTTAGACTTATGGTGATCATTTCAAAATATATACAAATATCAAATCATTGTGTTGTGCACCTGAAAGTAATGTAATACGTTGATTATATCTCAATAAAAAAAATTACTCCACAGGGGTGCCTGGCTGGCTCAGTGGGTGAAGCATGTGACTCGATCTCGGGGTTGTGGATTTGAGCCCTTGGGTGTACAGATTGCTTAAAAACAAAATCTTAAAAAAAAATTACTCCATAACATAATAAGATGAAAAGGCTCAGTGCATTTTCATAAGGCAGTTAAGTCCTGAGATATTAAAACCCGACAAAGATAACACAAAGTACTGCAGACTAATTCCACTTCTCAACTGAGAACTTCTCAACTTCTCAACTGAGAACTTCTCAACTTCTCAACTTCTCAATTCCACTTCTCAACTTCTCAACTAACTCCACTTCTCAACTTCTCAACTTCTCAACTTCTCTGCTGAAAGCCCAAATAAAATGCTGCCAAGTAAACCCATGACCAAAAAAAAAAAAAAAAAAAAAAAAATTCAAGGTCTACACTTTTCTAGTTCTGTCAAATAAATAAATAAAATCTTCAAAAAAAATAAAAAAAAAATAGTCTCATCATTTTGACAAAAAGGAAAGAAAAAGCAGTTTGGCCCCAAAGCTGGCTTAATCATTTGTCAGTTGATTTTAAGAAAAGAAATTGTTTTGCTTTTATTTCTTAAACGTTTTGCATCAATTGAGAGAGTGGATGTTACGGTCATGGCATCATAACCCAAAGATAGAAGCCTGGTGCTTGCGGTGTTTTTCCCAGACACCTCAGTTATCTTCCATGGACTTGATCTGTCTGTCAGAGAATGCCTTGTTCATGGTTCCCACTAATATTATACATCTGTCAGATTATCCCTGTTTCTAATGTATTTTTTAAAAGATTTATTTATTTATTTGACAGAAAGAGATAGCGAGAATAGGAACACAAGCAGGGGGAGTGGGAGAGGGAGAAGCAGGCTCCCTGCTCAGCAGGGAGCCCGATGTGGGGCTTGATCCCAGGACCCTGGGATCACGACCCGAGCCGAAGGCAGATGCTTAACGACTGAGCCACCCAGGTGCCTCTCTTATGTATTTTTAATAGCTCAATATTGTGCTCGCTTCGGCAGCACATATACTAAAATAGCTCAATATTGTGTTACTCACTGCAAGAAGGTTCTCACATCTCCATTTTGAACTATACACTATCAAACTAAAATTAACCGTTGTCCCATTTACTGCTTTGTACGTTGATACTTCATCTGATTAATACCCTCTAAACTTTTCTTGTTTTTTCTTTTTACTTTTAGCCCTCCCACAGAATTGTTTTAAATGACAGGTTTAGTTTTCAGTTTCAGATATAGTTGACGTATAATATTGTATAAGTCTAAAGTGTATAATATAGTGATTTGATATATGTATATATTATGAAATATAGTAACTAAACAGTAGGTTTAATTAACACCTGTCACCTCACAGAGTTACAGTATTTTCCTTGTGATGAGAACTTTTAAGATCTACTCTCTTAGCAACTTTCAAATATTAACTATAGTCCTCACATTGTACATAACATCCTTAGAACTTAATTATCTTATAACTGGAAGTTTGTACCTTTTGACCACCTTCACTAATTCCTGCACCACGCACTACCCACCTCTGGCAACCAAAAATCTGATCTCTGTTTCTATGGGTTTGGTGTTGTTTTGTTTTGTTTTTTAGATTCCACATATAAGTGAGATCATACAGTATTTGTCTTTCTCTGTCTGATTTATCTCATTTAGCATATTGCCCTCAAGGTCCATCCGTGTTTCACAAATGGCAGGACTTCCTTCTTTTTTATGGCTGAATGGTATTCCGTCATATATAATTAATTAACATTACATATATTATATATATTAGAACATACACATTTACATATGAGTATCTGAACATAATAGTGCTCCACCTTTTTGTTAACCATTCATCCATCTATGGATAGGTGGTTTCCATGTCCTAGCTATTATAAATAGTGCTGTAATAAACATAGGGGTGCAGATATCTCTTCAGGATAGTGATTTCATTTTGGATATATCCCCAGGAGTGGGATTGCTGCATCATGTGGTTCTACTTTTAATTTTTCAGGAACCTCCATACTGTTTTCCTTAGTGGCTGTACCAGTTCACATTCCCACCAACAGTGCACAGGGCTTCACTTTTCTCCACCTCTTCATCAACACTTGCTTTCTCGTTTTTCTGATGATAACCATTCCAATAGGTGTGAGGTGATATCTCATTGTGGTTTTGATTTGCACTTTCCTATTACTGTTGTTGAGCATTTTTTCATGTACCTGCTGGCCATCTGAATATCTTCTTTGGAAAAATGTCTATTCAGATTCTTTGTCCATGTTTTAATTGGATTTTCCTGGCTGAGTTGTATGCGTTTCTTATGTATGTTGGATATTAACATTATCAGATATGTGGTTTGCCTTTTCATTCTGCTGATTGGTTTTTTTTTTTTTTTTGCTGTGCAGATTTTCAGTTTAATGTAGTCCCACTTGTTTTTGTTGTTGTTGTTGTGTTTTAAGTGTCATTTCCAAAAAATTATTGCCAAGACCCATGTCAATAAGCCTTTTTTCTATGTTTTCTTTTAGGAGTTTTATGGTTTCATGTTTCACATTCAATTCAGCTTTTAATCCATTTCTAGTTAATTTTTATGAATAATATAAGACAGGGGTCTAGGGCGCCTGGGTGGCTCAGATGGTTAAGCGTCTGCCTTCTGCTCGGGTCATGATCCCAGGGTCCTGGGATCGAGTCCCACGTCGGGCTCCCAGCTCAGTGGGGAGCCTGCTTCTCCCTCTGACCCTCTCCCCTCTCATGCTGTTTCTCTCTCGCTCGCTCTCTAAAAAATAAAAATCTTAAAAAAAAAAAAGACAGGGGTCTAGTTTCATTCTTTTGCATGTGAGTACCTGATATTCCTGACACCATTTATTGAAGAAACTAGGTTTTCTCCATTGAGTATTCTTGGCTCTCTTTTGTCAAATACTAGTTGACTGTATATGCATAGCTTTATTTCTGAGCTCTTGATTCTATTCCATTGATCTGTGTGTCTGCTTACTATGCCAGTCCCATACCATTGTGATAGCTTTGCAATATAGTTTGAAATCAG